AGAGGTCAGTGTGGGGCCCTAAAAGACCGGCATGGGCCGGCGTTGGACCCCAGAGGCCAGCGGAGGGCCCTCAAAGGCCAAGATGGGCCCTCAGACGCCGATGCGGGCCCTGAGCGGCCGGCATTGGGTCTTCAGAATCCAGTGCAGGGGCCCTCAGAGGCTAATGTGGGTCCTTACAGGCCAGCATGGGGCCCTTAGAGGTCATTGTGGGGCCCTTAAAGGCCGGCATGGGCCGGCGTTGGACCCCAGAGACCAGCGGAGGGACCTCAAAGGCCAAAATGGGCCCCCACAGGCCGATGCGGGCTCTTAGAGGCCGACATCGGGTCTTCAGAATCCAGTGCGGGGCCCTCAGAGGCACTTAAAGGCTAGTCTTGGGACTAGAGAGACAGAAATGAGGCCACCAGAGGCCGGCGTGAGGCTATCAGACGCCGGATGGGCCCCTGAGGCCGGTTTAGGGGCCCTTTAAGGCCAGTGGAGGGCCCTCAGAGGTCAATGTGGGTCCTCAGCGGTCAATGTAGACGCTTGACCGCCACTGAAGGGCTCTCAGAGGTCAGTGTAGGACCCTCAAAGACTGGTATAGGAGCTGTTAATAGCTGGCGTGGGTTTCTCGAGCCTCGTGACAATCGAATACGGGCCAGGGCCCCATACGGCCATGGGGGCCCATCGGTTGTTTGGGGGGGGGGGGGCAAATGATATGATCCCCCCTGATTTGCCTTTTGGGGGGGGCATGGCCCTGATGCCCCCCCCCCCCCTGCGACCGCCACTGGAGCCGTCCGCCTTGCATACACCTATGCATTCATATCTCGGCCAACACCGACCAGCTGAGCGCCACACGGACACATTTGGCAGCACATACACCAGTGCGAAGGAAATCCCCTCCGCTAATACTTTACGCATAACAGGCCTAATGAAGAGGGGTCCCGCGCAAGCAACAGGTAAGTATGTGCATAGAGTAAATACAACAAAACTGATCGTTAACATCTAAACATGCTAAAGTATAGCATAAAAGGCATTAAATCCACAAAACCAGTGGCTGAAGCCGCCTCTGTCAAGTAAATTGTGCCGTCAAGTGTAAGTGCAATGCGCCCAAATCAAACATAAAAGTGTCTGGAAAGGGCGCATATGCGCTCGGATCATACTGCAGAGTGTCGTAAAATGGCGCAGTGCGCTTTTATCTGACTCGGTAGTGTCGTTTTTAGGCTAAGTGTCTGATAATTGCGCCTGAAGTTGACTCGGGAAAATTATTCAAACAGGTATTTCGAGAAAAATACAGTGTTAAAAGCAAAAAAAAAAAAGCTGTCGGAATGCGTTTTGCAAACACACCTATCAATTAAAAGTGTTTGGGTCACTTTCAGGTCATTATTTAAAAAAAACTTGTTCACCGAATTCCAGCTCAACATCTAGGTAAGGTATACGACACCCACTCCGTCTTCGCGGCAAAATCCTTCATCTGAAAATTCAAGTACATATGGTTGTGAGTGTGATGTACCAAATGTATGCATTATACATCAGAAATGACGAGCGAGAAAATCTCTTTCAAATGAGCATCATTTTTTAAAGATTGGTTACGAAATAAACGAATGAGAACAGAAAAACGGAAAGTGCTCGACCACTCAGGCTCCAACAGGACTGTTGAATACAGGCGCAATTTACCCACGATTTGTCGCGAATGAGCGCAGTTTCACCGCATCGTTCTGCATCGCGTTTTTCTCATTTGTGGCGGAATCAAACAGTGTCCTGATACTATCACATATTCCGGGGGGCTAAAATTACCTCTTTTCATTGCAGCGAGCTTCCTAGAATGCATAACTTTGAAGATTTTGCGACATGAAAGAAATGTCGTATTTCAGCGCAGTTTGAGTGTGCAATTTGCGGCAACTGTCGCTTTTAAGCGCTGTCGTTTTATTTTGCGCAAAGTCGAATTCGAGCGCAAAAAAGTCGTATGAGGGTTGAATCGTATTCCCTGCACCCAGCCCAGCTGGCCCACCATCGATCGCTACGAGACGCGCGATGAACGGTTACCATGACGACCAAAGGCTTGTCCGATGGTCACGTGATACGGGGGTATCTGCCCCGCTGCCTGATATATAAATACTTTGCAGACTTTATAATGCGGTACTATGTCTGATAATCAGACGGAAGACGTGGTGACATCGATCTTGGATCCGCCTAGGTATTACCCGTATGCCTACCGTAACCATTACCGTCTTGCCTGCATGACTTGCATGCTATGCAGTATGCATGGTTCTAGGAAATCTCACATGCATTGGATTTCCTAGTCGATTCCTAATTACCCATATTCCTAATTCGATGGATTATTAATTCGGTTAATTTCCTTATTCGTAATTCGGATAGGAAACAAAATGAATCTTACGTCGTGTTAAATCTGTCCTGGATGAGCACGCGTGAATATCTGAGACACTGGCCTGACACAATCTGGCCGGCGTATATAGGTAAACACATGTAGCCGTATACCTTCCTACCTACCTGTACTCACGCCCCTCGTCGGCAGCGATGCGATTGTATCGTACCTACTGGAATGATCGTACCTATGAAATAGTGTGGGAACTTAAAGGAAAACACAAAAGATTATTGGGATGCGCTAACTTTTTACTTTATTTCGATAGACATCCATGGGCTTCGTCAATGTTGACGCAGTGCAATGGATATGTGATACGTTTACTAAGTCCCTCATCCCCGCCTGATCCTGTACCCCTGGCCCTGGCGAGTCAGTAGTGGACGCTGCGGAAACTCCGGCTGTACCAACGAACTGCTCCGGTCCGGTTCCAGCCGGAGCCCACCGGCATCAAATCAATGTACTGCTGCGCCACCACGGACGCCGCCTCCGGCCCAAAATGCGGAGTTTCTGACGCCATCGGCCGCAGAGCTCTCACGGCCCTGTGTATGAATATGTTGTGGATAAAATGTACCTACACATATAAGCCGTTGTCACGACGACCATCTGGTACACGTTTGGTGTAGATTAGGTGCACATTTGGTGAGGATTTGGTTTAAATCAGGTTCAGTGTATTTCTTAGCTATCAAGTAGGGTCGCACTATTTATATACACCTAGGGTTGCACTAATGGCTTATATACTTGCCTTGTCATACCATCACTCATTGTCATAGATTAAAACCGTGAAATAATATTTGTTATCAAAGAGATTAGGTGCAGATTTGGTGAGAATTAGGTGCATTCGCCAGATAGCCCGTCGTGAAAACGGCTATAGCCTCCTAATCGGGCGGTGTCTGTGGAGTGTGGATGTAAAGCGGGTCCGGGACGGTCGGTCGTTCGGGTCCCCTGCACGTGGTCGCGATAAATACCTACATACAGATCGAGTGGTGCCGCCCGAGACACAGCTGAAGAAAGAAGCAGAGTTTGAAACGAAAAAAAAAATAGAATCGGCGGATTCCGAAAATGTGCTCCAAATCAAAGGGCAACGTCAAGGTCATCCTTTAAATTGGCCTCAAACTTTTCACTTTTCGAACATCTTGCGTACTAGCTTCCAAAATATTTTGAAACGTTTTGAGGCTTGTCAGGTCCTTGTTTGTGGTTGATATTACGATACGAGGCTGCTCCTAGGTCAAGGTCACGGAAGAGCATCCTTGCTAGAGGCTATTTCACTGATTCAAGTTGGTAATGACTAATGATAAATAAGACTGTTTTGCCAACCGGAGGTTCTAAATGAACGCTTAGAGGAAAATATATGCCAGATTCGTGATCAGCGGCTACGAATCCATCATAAAAAACCTTTCATGTGTCAATGTCCAACAAAGATGATTCGAGGTCACATGAGGTCAACATAAAACTTGACCTTTTCCAAAACAAAATATATATCATTCGACACGACTTGACAAGGCGAACGCGATGGTATACCACTGCCGTAGCTCTTGGACCATTTTGTTGAAGTTATTTGCGAAAAACTAAAGCCCCAGTTCTGGGGTCGTTGACCTGACCTCTGGGCTCTGACCTCACGTCAACCAAACTATTTTTTTTTTGTTTTTCTGTAGGTCTAACGCTACACAGCCGTGCCCGTAATTTGGTTCTATCTCAAAAACTCTATTTTAGCACTTAGCAGCTATTTGAAGGTCTGTTCACGTCTGTAACGCCGAAATTTGTTAAAACAGCCCCCCCCCCAGACCCGCGGGTGTTTACTAATAAATGAGCAAAAGGTCTTTTTCTAACAGAGCAAATTATTTTCATATTGCTTTTAAGTTTTAACCTCACATCCTCTCTTCGAGAATGTACAGCAATCATAATGAACGCCGTGTATTTTCCTTAATTGGTCCTTGTTCGACCACTTGAGCCTTATCTGAGATAAAGCGCTCTAGGGCTCTTGTCTGGCTAGTGGCTGACCGCCGAGTTATCATGCATGATACGCCGTATAGGATCGTGTGAAGTGCTCAGATGTCCTGCGCAAAAGTGCTCATGCACTGTGCGTTTTGCAGCTTCGAAAACAGTTGGATGACGGTCGTGGGCCTATCGGCACCGTCAGGCAGAGCTCCGTGCGGATCGCGGGCTCATGGGTTTTGCGCCGGATCTCAGTTTAGTGTAGTGGCGTGAGTGGAGATTTTCCACAGTCGAGCTCGGTGTTGACTGTGACCACTGACCAGTGAGGTAATCTAAAGTGGAGCGGAGTGGTGATCAGAAACGAGACTCCCCACAGACATTCAGTGGTGATCACTGACAGTGCTCTTCTGTAGATTCTACAGTGAAAAATTCGTTGTGATTTCAGCTGCACTGTGATTCCGATAGGCTAGTTCTCGTGGACGGTTGGATACGGTACGTACTCTGCATCAACATGGAACTATCTTAGCCATAAGCGCCGTTCGGCAATAACCAAACATAACTAAAAAATGCGACGTGCCTTATGCCATGATTTCTGTAGATGCACAGTCTTCAAAACAATACTAAGCCACTGACCTCGTCTATTTGGCCCGTCTCTTGTCTTCCGCCGTTACCAGGCCCTAGTGCCGTCATACAGGGCAAATATGCAACATTCTCTGCAGTTTGCACTGTATTTGACAAACTAGTAATAGGTAATTCTACAGTTTAGGCTTTAATGTTCGAGCAGGGGTGAGGGTACACAATGGAACAATGGAAAATTCCTTCAACAATAGTGAACACTGAATAGCGGCTGGCGCTACCGTTGATATGTGTAACTGTAGCCACAATAATACTCTTGGCAGTGAATGCTTATGCCTACATTGCAATGGGTGAACGTTTGAGATGTCGAGGCAGAACACGTATGAAATGCATGCGGAATGCGGGTTCATGAAGCTCAAATGAGGCAAAGGAAAAGCATGCTGCAATGCTGCATGGCTCATGACATTATCACATTCTCTGCAAGGCATCCCGTTTCGTCACTGCGGCACGGCGATGCGTCGGCCAGGGTGTTGAACACTGTGGCACGTCTATTCTAATGGCTGGAAAGCGTTGCGAACCCGCGATCGCTCCAGATCGTCAATATACACCTGTATCACTTTTCTCTGGTCCGGATGCAGCTTGATGGCTTGCTGGAAGCTCTCTACGGCGTCGGCGTGCTGCCCGAGCTGGATGTGCGCCTTGCCCTTGTGGATCCAGGCGCGCAGACTGGTCTCGTCCAGTCGCAGCGCCAGATCCAGGTCCTGCATCGCCTCCCTCGCCCGCTTCAGCTTCAGCAGCGTCTGAGCGCGCGACGTGTACAGCAGGCAGCTGTCCTTCAGCTCGGTGATCGCGTTAGTGTACTTCTCCAGGGCGTCATCGTACTTACCCGCTCGAAAAGACGCAATCGCCTTCTCTTTCCACGTATCGGACAGCATTTTGGCCTTTTTCTTCTTTTCAGCTCGTTCCGCGGCATCCGCCTCCATCTGTCGTTTGAAGTCCTCCTGCTGTACAGTGGCCGGATCGACCGCCGGCCGGGGGTTGACGCAGTTTCTGTTCTCGGCCGTTACGACGCTCCCTGCCGCTTCGTCAACAGCGCCTTCGGCCAGTCGGCCGCGGGTGATGAGGTCTGCCTGGCGGGAGGCCTGCTCCACTGTGGCCGAGTCAGGGGAGCGGAGCGCCTCGATCAGTGCCGAGACTTGGTCCACTTTGGTCAGGAAGGAATCGAACTCTTCTTTGTCATTCATGGCTGGCAACTTCTGGGCTAAAGGAGTTTAACTGTAAACGTTTCTGCTTGAATCCGATGCCAGTTCGTCAGGGCGTCCGCCGGTCGTGTTCTATCGCTCATCTATCGCTGGCGTGCGTAACTGTGGGCACAAAGATCCGACGTTACAGCCATGGAATACGGAACAGTATCGGAACGCTAGCACTGTAGTCCGACAAACTTAGAAAAGAACGAATTTAGCATAACAGTTGAAGCACGTGCCTCCTGTATTATTTCAGATACGTCCGAGATTGTTACGAGCCCATTTCTCCAGGACCATAAAAACAGCTGTGGTACTCCGGTCAAGTTACAACAATCAGAACGCGTGCAAAATGATTCAGAGCACTTTGGCTTTTTTTCTTACAGTAGACAAACTTTTTAGTGATGTCCTTGCAGGATGCTGAAACTTGAATGCTCGTTTCAGGCGATTAGTGGCGAGCGTGCAAAAACGACGGACGTCAACATTGGGTTTTATTTCTCACACACGTGATGGCCATGGCCATGATAAACCAGGGACACCAACATTTATATAACAGGTGGGTGGGGGCGCATACTCCACCGGCCGCAGCTCGACGTTATCAGTCGGAATGCCCCGCCAGCTGATGTAACGCGGAGGCCACCTGATATAGTCGGACGGGGCGTGACACGTGTTTTTGTTCGATGGGTGCGGTTTGTTTAGCCATCTAAGTAATAAAAACCTCAGTCATCAATCTCGGCTCACATTAGACACGATTTCTTTGTCGACCTGTGTGACACTGACTCCTGTGATTGCCACAGGACGGCGTCGGTCCGGCGGCGGCAATGTCCTGCTGGGACGGCCTGCGCGCCCGGCTTCGGTTCGGCCGGCCGGCGCGCGGCGGTCTGGTGACACTGGCTGCCGGCTTCCTGCTGCACCTGTCGCTCGGCTGCGGCTACAGCTACGGCAACTTCACCACCTACCTGACCTCGTACCTGGCCGTGCGCCGCCGGCTGCCGGTCGACTTCGGCGCCACGCTGTGGGTGGACGCCGCCATGACGGCCGCCGAGGGGCCGGGCGTGTTCCTGGGCAGCATCTGCTACCGCCGGCTGGGACCGCGGCTGACGCTGCTGGCCGGCGGCGTGCTCAGCTCCGGCGCGCTGGCGCTCATGTACGTCGTGGTCGACACGTCGCTCGCCTGGGTGATCGTCGTGTTCGGCGTGGTGAACGGTCTGGGCGTCGGGTTGGCCTACAGCCCGCCGCTGCTAGCCGGCTTCAAGTGGTTCCCGCACCACCGCGGCCTCATCAGCGGCCTGGTGGTCACCGGGTTCCGGCTCGGCGGCATCATGTTCACTACCATCCAGACCAGCTTCCTCAACCCTGACAACGTGCTGCCCGATCCCGACGATGGCTTCTTCTACGACGACGCGCTGCTGGACCGCGTGCCGTGCCTGTTCCTGGTGGAAGCCGGCGTGAGCGTGGTGTTCCAGTTAATCGGCGTGCTCGGTGTGCACGACCCGCCCGCCGAGCACGACCGACTGACCCCCGAGCCGGGCTTCGGCCGCGCGCCGAGCGATACCTCTGACACCTCCGCCACAGCGGCCTCTGAGGGCGCTGACCGTCAGGAGGACCGCAACAAGACACCAGCGAGCCGCAGCCCTTCAGTAGACAGCGCTGAGCAGACGACCTCCTGGAAGAAGTCGCTGCTGACGCTGCCGGCGCTGCAGCTGACGGTCGGCTTCGCCATGTGCATCCTCACGCTGTCCATCTTCAACCCGCTGTGGAAGGCGTTCGGACAGACGTTCATCCGCGACGACCACTTCATGGAGCTGGTGGGCTCCGGCTCGCTGGTGCTCGGCCTCATCGGCCGCCTCGTCTGGGGCGTGCTCTGCGACATGTTCAGCTACAAGCCCATCATGCTGATGATGACAGGACTCATCTGCTTCTTCACATTCACGCTGCCGGCCTGCACGGAGGGCAGTCAGGTGATGTTCCTGTTCTGGGTGTGGTCCATCTACTTCTGTTACGCCGGCGTGTTCTCGGTGGTGGTGACCGGCACGGCCGACTGGCTCGGCACCGACGTCGCCGGCCACGTGTACGGGGTCATCTTCATGACGGGCACGCTGCTGTCGCTGCTGGCGCCGCCGCTGGCCGATGCGGTGCTCGACAGCCGCGGCTACCCGAGCGTGTTCCTCGTGTCGGGAGGGTTCGCCGCCGTCGCCTTCGTCGCCGCGCTGACGTTCCGACACATCGACCGCACCGATGTCGACTACCATCGAATGCAGCCCGACTTGCCGGTGAAACTGTGACTAGAGCGCGATCGACGCGACGGGGACGCGACTGGGCGTGGGAGGGACGGTCTTTGTGGCGAGGCGAAATGGGTAACAGTGGTGGGCATATCTCGAGTGTTTTATCAACGTTTAATTCAGGGTAGCACATATCAATGTAGGTGTCTGAGAAATTACCTTAATATAGGGCATTTATTATGGCGTGCTATGAATGGTACACTTCCTACGGTATCCCATTCTTCTTATCTTACTTTTTGTCTAACGTCTTGTTCACTATTTGTGGTCTAAGATGATATTTTATTACGTACCTAGCGAGTATATTAGTAAATTAGCTAAACTAATGAGCCGCCAGTAATACGATGCAACAGAAATATTGTAATACCCAAGATTACTTCACTACTCCTACCTACATTGCACATATGATAACGAAACCAACACGCACCGCACGCCTTTTACCATATGCATATAGTGTGCTCTACGGACTGGCTACTACCTAGTGTACAAGTCCCACCAGTTATGTATTTTACCTACAGTTAGGTAGTTGTAAGCATGTAGATATAAAGCCATGTAGTGTGTACGTAACGTATGTGCGTATAAAGGCGTGGGATGTTGATGCATGCATTTGTGTTTTGTTATTTGCATGCCGACATACGTGAATTGAGTGCAATATAATATAGGGCGATTTATTTTCTGTTTGAAAGCAGTTGCAGTTAACAGAGCAGAAACCACAAATGGGCGAGTGCACCGAAAACATTAGCGTCGCACATGACGAGTCAGAGGCGAGGTCGGAGTCAAAGGCTCCACGGGTTGTTGGCACTGACCAACTAAGAGTCAGTATCAGTCAGGCTACCTCGACTTCGCCTCCATAACATTTATTTGAATCTGGAATAGCGGTTTAAGCTGTCTCTACGAAAGGGAAGGTGCTGCCACACTTCTTCAAAGTTAACGTTTTATGTATGTATGTTACGGCCCGTTTGAAAACCCGGTCCGTATTAATACTGCCCGGCCGGTATTAATACTGACCGGAGGCCTGGCCCGTATTAATACGGCCCCCGGTCAGCATTAATGCGGACTGCCTCGCGGTCGGCATTAATACGGGCCGGGCAGTATTGATACAGGCCACTTTTTTCCTCGCGGCCATATCAAGACTTGGGCCATATCAAAACTAGCCAACTACAGTCCTATTTCTGTTACGGACTAACTACAGTCCTGTAATTAGTCCTATTTCATGTCTTGGCAAGTGCTCTGTAGGCCTGCAGTGACCCAAGGTCACCCTCTGAGGTGACCTTGGGTGAGGTGTTAGACCTGCTCATATTCTCCTAGGCAACATCTAGATGAATACCGCTATAGTTGTCTTTACGGAATCATGAAATGTCTTCGTTTGTTTTCTCTACATGACATTTTTAACTGTTTTGATCATGTATAATAACATCTATTTTATCCTGGGTTACTTTTACAGGAAAAGTCGAGAGGGGGAATAAAGTTCGGGGCAAGGGCGGATCCAGGGGCATCTGAAAGGGGGCCCAATGCCATTAGGTTTTTGTTAGGATGGCGCCTGCAGAACCTTACCTATCCCCAAATCCTACTCTCTCCCCGGATTCTGGCCACTTTATAGTGTTTTAGGTTGCAAAAAAAAAAAAACTAGCTAAAGAATATACGTAGGTACCGGGCTTCTCAAAAAAGTTAGACGATTTTATAACTAACGTATTGAAGGATGTATCAGTGTAACAAAACATAATTGGGTATCACCTAAAAGCCTCATCAACCATCGATGAAAACACTGAAATAAATTCATAAAAAGCCTCATCAAAGACATTTCGTTTGAGGGGATTTCGACCCTCGGCACGGGCAGTCGGCTTTCTGAGCCGCGCCAAGGTCATGTTCGAGATGATTCCCTTTTTGCTCGATGCACAGTTCAGCCCGGCGCAGCGCGACCTCTGCTGCAGCACGACCCACGGAAGGCTGCAGACGGCACACTGCTGACTTCACTGCATCCTTATGATCTTCGGAATATTTTGGGTGGTTTCGGTACACCTGGGACTTGAGGTGGTCCTATAGGAAAAAGTCCGGTGGGGTTACGTTCGGAGAATTCGCCGACCACGGGCGAGTCTCGAACCTCGGGATCACGCGCTGCCCGAAGCGCTCCCACAGCCCCTCCCGGTTTTCTTTAGCGGTATTGGCGTGGCACCGTCTTGCTGGAACCATTGGATCTTAAGCGTTTCCGGATCTCTGCTCATCCTGATATTGCAGAACCGTCCAAAACGTCGCCAGAGCCACCCGATATCGCTGACCATTGACAGTCTGAGTAGCGCATCTCTCACCCGAGTGGTGTTCGCCGTGAGCCTTTGATTGGGTTTATGGCCGCCGCTGTGTTCCTTGAATTGCGTGAACCTATTGTTAACACTTCCTCGAGCCAGAAACTTGTCAACAATGTGGAAAATTTTGTTTCAAGATGTTGCTCTCTTTGCCCAAAAGTGTTTGAGGATCTTCCGTGGTGTCGAACCGACCGACTTAGTCTGGGAAAGCATAATTTCACGAGTTTTGCTTTTACTTCCTAAGACCACGGCTTCATTTTTTAAGCTCAAACCATGGTGTCATATAAATCTACGAACAATTCTCCGTTTTTCAACGTGCATTGATTTTGCTTAAATGTTGTTAGGGGTCCTCTATTCGAAAAAGAAATCCGTCTAACTTTTTTGAGAAGCCCGGTACCTACCTTGGCGGTAAGGGGCGGGGGAGGTCCCAACTTGGCTGCGCCCTTGCAAATGTCAATCAGAAGTATCAACCTATTACCCTGGCCAAACATCAAGTAGCGCCTTTCTAAATAGAGAGAGGTTAGCACGTGGCTATTTTTGCTAGGCCAAGACCGATTGAAGGACACTGGTTCGAAGGAAGACCCTTGGTTCGAAGAGGTCATGACCCCCGTCCCCCGCCGGTTTCTACGCCTGTAGCGATATGTCAGTGATTGCGAAGAGACGGAAGAGACAAGACAAGAGACGGTCCCACCGACCATCCGATCGGTATCGGTTCAAATCTGGAGTTCCCGCTGCACTGAACGTAAAATGGTTGGATGGAACCTCAAATTGAAAATTATCTAAGCGCCAGCAGGCAGCAACGTTGATTGATGACTAGAGTCTGATCAACGATGATTATAGAATCTGAGTAGTGAATTGATTGAAAATGGGCTCAAAAATAAATTTGAAAGGGTAAATTCCCCCTTCCCTCCCTAGCCGTTCACGCACAATTTGAAAGGGGGAGCGGAATTTTCGGAGGGGGGAAATTCCCCCTTCCCCCCTTTAAAAGTTACCCTGATTTTATCGAGCACGCTTTGTTCTATATCATTCGCGAGCATTAGTTACAACTGCTTGTCCTATTCGCAGCCTTTCGATCTTGATTCGCTAGTCTCGGGGTACTAGTTCCGGAATTGTATGGAATGGTTGTGGATTCGAGGCGTGACTGGCGAATGTTCACATAGGGCGTTCAACTTTTATCAGTAAGCCACCATCAATATGGGCATGCATTCATAGCTAATGTAATTGATTTTGAAGCAAACTGATATTTTTTCACTAAAAGGTGGGCAGCATTAATACTGCCCACCTAAATCGGCCGCATTAATACCGACCGGCAAGGCGGCCCGCATTAACGCTGACCGGCCCGCATTAATACGGGCCGGACCTCCGGTCAGTATTAATACGGGCCGGGCAGCATTAATACAGGCCGGGTTTTAAAACGGGCCGTAACATGTATACTATATACCCAGGACCTGACTGAAAATGACGAGCGTTATAACTTGCCAGACATTGTTCCCATGAGCGGTTCGGCAAAACATCGGGGTACAGATGCGATTTTGTATAGTAAGGCGTGGATAAATGTCCACGAACTTGCTTCTGTCCTCTAGATACCTATTACCTATTATTTCTATCGCTGGGGAAATATTGTAAGTATTTTTAATCCTTTGGTTTGTCACTCAGACCCCCACATTTCACAGAGTTCTCTCATGTATATATCTACTGCATATGAAAGGACATTTTTACCATCCTGCACCACAATTGGGTGAAATTCAGATATACTACGTTAACAAATGTTGTTTGCCATCTTTTCAAACGTAACATTTTTGTTAAGTTTTCGTACTGCTTTTGATGGCTTAAAATAAATTTTCTTAAATATATGCATTTAAGAAATACCTAACTGCACAGATAAAGGGAATTGCAGTAATATATGTTTCTTGGTAATTGAACGGTTTTATGTTCTACGTGTTTATATGTAGACACAGTCAGAGTCTACATGCATTGCCAATTGGCATGCTTCTGCAATTCAAACGATAAAGTACATGACGGCAAGTATTGCCAAAAAAAAGTCCAAGGCAGATAGAAATTAAATCCTTAATTTTCCCCTAAAATTATGAGCACTTAACCCGCGACCTGGTGGGGGGGGGGGGGCTATTTTTGCCCCCCCCCCTCCAGACTTTTCGATATATCTCCAGAACCGCTGCGCCGATCGTCACCAAACTTTCAGTACCCTCCCGGACATCAATTTTAGGTACACATGGTGACCAAAAATTTTTCCAAAGGCTATGATAGGTTGGCCGGAAATGACGTCAGAGTGACGTCATGTTCTGCCGTTTTCGACCCAAAAAAGGGTTTCGCGGGAAGAGCTGTCAGGCCTATAGCTTTGCAAATACAGAAAAATGATAATAACATAAAAGCTGTAGAATTGACAGGGCTACAAAACTGCTATCTCGGATTTTTTAAATTTTTTGGATTTTGACCCCCAAAAATCAAAAAATATTTTTTTTGGATATAATGATCGAAAATCCAAAAAGTTTTTTGAATTTCGCAAAAACCGGAATATATGTGATAGTCCTTATCGCCTTCCATCCACATACCAAATTTGAGATTGATACCTCTTTTTTTGGCGAAGTTATAGCGAAAAAACTGTTCAAAATTGATGACGTCAAATTTTCAAACTCAATTTTTAGCAATTCTAGACCCCGTAGCGCAAAACAAAGACAACCATTAGACTCCCGGTCCCCGTGACGAGCTGCATCGAATCAATACCCATTTTATGCAAAACTATCAACTTTAAAATTTGACCTTTTTTGGCCTGACCTTGACCTGACCTTGACCTGAACTTCACCAGAAAGTGACCTAAGCCGTACCTGATAGTCTTATAACCAACACCATTGAGTTGGAAATGAAAAATTGGCCATAAAACATGCATCACACAACCTTAGTAAAGTTGGGCTCATGTGACCTGACCTGTGACCCTTGGTGACCTGACCTGTGACGTGACCTGGTATTGTCAGTGACCTCTAATAGCAACATATCTACTAGGCAACTGACCCCCTATCGCTGATTCTCGACAAAATGCGTTTTCCTCGGTGTTATAGCGCATTCCCTAGAAGACCCGTGAACGGTGAAACATTTCATCTTTGACCTGACCTGTGACGTCATCGGTGACCCCGAGGTCAATAAAATTTGGTTTCTCTAGACAAATTTGACAGGCCTTTCGAACGCCGTTTGAATTTTGCGGATCCGTCCAGTAGTTTCGGAGATACGAGGGGGGGGGGCAAAAAATAACCCCCCCCCCCACCAGGTCGCGTTATAAACAGACCCCACCAGGGCGCGGGTTAAGTCTTTTTTCATATACGGACAGATTTTCGTCTGGAAATGCAGTACAATCCGCTTAATAAATCCACCTTGGTGACGCGGCGTTTTGGACTTATCAAGCGGTGGCTTTAAACCGGAGTCAGTTATGCTTCTATGACGATATACGTGAATAGCTCAAGGGGCTAGGCGGCTGGATTTATCCTTCCGAGTATTTATGAAGCGGATTCTGCTGTATAGAGATAGAAATTAAAATTTCGTATTCAAAATTTCTTCATTTTCATATCTTCATATCCCAAAAATGTTTAAGTTTCATATAAAATATTTACGGTACATCGAAAAAGATCCACGGGGAGCTGGAAGGAATGATACGGCACCTGCCCGACGAAAATACGGTGATGCTGCCAATGATAGGGTTTGGTTAGTAGTTAAACATTTAGGCAACCTTAATTTGTTTATCCATATCTTTCGCAGGTATCGAAAAACAGCCCATGAAAAGTGACATGCAAAACTCAAAATAGGAGACGGAGTGGACTCAGAAGCAATATGAGGACAGAGCGGCATGCTAAACCGCTTGTCGCTCATCGATCCCATTGGGTAAATGACGTCTACTTTTCGTCATTATGGTCCCTTGCTCACCATGGCTTCAAATCGATGCCTCCGTTAATCAAGACCAGCGTAATAACCTAAGCCCATCGATTGGAAAAGACCGAATTACCACGGGACATTTTATAGGTGACGAAACAGAGACCGTAATTTCCGCCGCTCTTGGGTATCGCATAAGGTCTAACTATACTTTGGAATAATTTGTGCAGTCGTTATCGCTTATGTGAGTGAAGTGATCCACGTGAAATGAAAGTAAAAATAGACTTCAACTGAACTGCACGGACGGACACTCCAAACACCCGCACTGAGATAAAGCAATTTAAGTGACTCCGTCATGCACTGTAAGAGCTGCGATTATCATTGAACGTGATGCTCTGGCTTCTGAGCCTGAGGTCATCTCAGGAGCTAAGGAAACGGTTGAAAAATGACAGTCTATCATTTTTTTCGGCTTGCGCACGATGTAAAAGTATGTCACAAAGCAGAAAGGTCACGTTCTGCAATCATGTCTTCGATAGTTTGGCTGTCAGCCTCGCGCAGTGCGCTGAATATATCCTGTGATGGTATCCTAAATCGCGTTTAGCACGATCGACAAGGACGATATTCTTGGAGCCGTCGTTATTGCGCGAAGACAGCAACAGTGCAATCACACAAATATGCAGGCCTACTTTTCTTTCTCCAGGCCTACTCACTTCTTGATGGTATAGTGGCATTTCATAGTCAAGGAACTGGGCGCCAATGGACAAAATCGGGCCTAACATAGATCCTTGAACTATGCTGTGGGTTATCTGCGGCTTGGCACGCATTGTGTCACTAAACTGGACGTGTACGAACGGGAAGCAAAAAGAAAAAACGAATTATTTTATGAGACTAATTTTGAAGTCCTTTGAGCGCCATGCTTACAGCTTGCCGTTATGAAAACTGGGAGCCGATGTGTTGCGATCGGACCAATTCCCTTGCCCGAACGATTTTGATGCTAAATTTGCGTTGCGAGTTGCGACTATAAGTATAGTAAGATTATAAAGCGATACTGTGGCGCCATTCGGAGATGAACTTCACAGATCTACACCAAACTGTTTCCTGTTCAAGGTGTTTACCCCATGTCATTAGTCACCACTTTCCTTATACCTATTCTTATTGATCTGTCATGCAAACAAATGAGAACGGACCGACCACTCTCAAGCCAGTCGTTAGCTGGGGGACACCAAATTTTAGAACAATAGTTTATATATTTTCTAGCAATATTTTAAACTGGTCGAACACAGATAGTGTTGAAGCAAACCTCTTCACCCTCCCCACCATAAGGCATCTTAGGCTGATTTTCCACGAACTTACCGGAACGCCAGCACCGCTCTGCACTCTTCACGTGCGCCCCGTTTCCTGTCGCCCTGCGCAATCTGCCCGTGGCATGCGTGCATTCCGGCCGTGCGACTGGCGTCGGCCCACGGGTGGCGTGTGCTCGACACGCGGCCCGCGTGCTGCCATGCCACGCTGATTGGTGACCGAGTCCGAGCCGCCCCGACCCGCCGCGCCGGCGGCCGTCGGGCGGGGCGGGCCGTCCCGCCGCGGCCGGCGGGGCGGGGAGCGGTGACGATCGATGTTCGCCGCGCGCCTGGTCCGCCGGACCGCCAGAGCCGCGCCCGTCGCCGCAGCCGCCGTCGCCGCCATGGCCGGACGTCTGACCCGCAGGTACGTGGTTCAGGGGCAGGTCATCGGTCACCGGGTCATCGGGGCGGGGAGGTCAGGTCACCAGGGGAGAGCAGGAAGTGATGATGGGTACGGGGTAGGAAGAATGGATTTCGGGAGTGGGTGGTAGGTATTCGAAGTGGGGGGCGGGTAGGTTGCATTCGGTGCTAGTTTGTTAGGTGGGCAGTGGTGCAATTATGAGGGTAGGGTAGTTGATACCGATCTTTGGTAAGCTGGTGAAAATGATTATTAGGCTCTCCGTCACATCGTTCACCTCCGATTTCGGGATTTCGGGATCCGAAATATATTTCAAAATTTTATCAAGCCCCGTTTTCAGTTCAAAACTGAGCTGAGATGCCTACTCAATATCTAAAACGAGGTTTTCGGTGCACACAAAGCGATTTTCGGTTCTATTCCGACGATTCTGATTGATATTACAGTGCGTTTGCCTGATACAAAGCATCAAGACGGTGAACTTCACAGGGCTTCAATTTGAGACATTGATTATCAAAGCAAAAATATAGCTTGCGATAGTGTTTTGCCCTGAGTCATGCTCATCAACTAGCAAAGTCAATTTATTGAGCGCATATCAAGAAATGGGACGCTTACCTCTGAACATCCGCTGTGACTCTCTAATCTCCCACCTTACTTTGTCCTTTCGCTGTACCTCTCTGGATTTTGACCTTTCACCATACCCCTCTCACCTTCCATCGTACCCCTCAAGGTCCTAACCTTCCACCATGCCCCTCTCACCTTTCACTGCACCCCTCTGATCCTTCATCATACCCCTCTGAGCTATGCCGTACCCCTCTGAGCTAGCGCCGTACCCCTCTGAGCTAGCGCCGTACTCCTCTGAGCTATGCCGTACTAGGGTGACCCTTTTTACAACTTTTTTTTAGAAGTTAGCCAGCACGCCCCTAGATCGACGTGGCTTGATGCCCTGAGTACGAAAATACCATTTTTGACCAGAAATTTTGAATTTGGAAGCCCGCCCCAAAATTTAAAGATGGGAAAATGAGCATATTTTTGCGATTCTGGCACTTTCGGTGCAGGTATTCGATAGTTGCTATTTAAAAAGCATAGTGAAATGGCATAATATAAGTTACGACACTAATTCTGCGCCGGCATGGCAAGTTTCATACATCTACACCCGTTTTACCGCTTTTTATCGCTGTTTTTTTTCCGACGAGAGTCAGCCGCCCGCAGCTCCCGAGTTTCATAGATCTGTCCATAGATGGCAGCACAATGGGCTTCACGTCTCGGCTTTGGGGAAGGTTTTCAGAGTGTCTTTTAGTGTTGTTTCCATTCCAGTATGAAGGAACTGGCATGTTTTTATGTTTTTGTCGCCATTAGCCCTATATTTGATCACATTTGTAATATATTCCAGCTTGAAAACTACACAATTCAGCGAAAAATCGCATTTAACTCGCGGTTGTTTCCAATAACGTGTCTAACGGCAAATGAGAGCTGTCTGACCATGGGCTCTGGAACCTTTGGGACCTAGGAAATGGAACATGAGAGCACTGGGGCACCGTGTCCGCTTTAACCCTCGCCCATGTAGGGGGGGGGTTGGTGCAACCCCCCTGAGGTTTTTCGGAACTAGTGTAAAAACGGCGGCGCGCAGCGCCGCCAAATTTTGGGTACCTTATGGGGCAAACCTTGCGCATCTTTTGATAAAAAAAATTTGACCGGGTCATGTCAGGTCACGGAGTTATGACGTCACAAAGGGAACAGCCTCCGGCCGGATTTTCACAAACTGAGTGCCAACGCCCGAGGTTTCCTGCCGGTGGTACGGACATCGGTTGATGGATCGTGATGAAACTTCCCATGCATGTTGGGGCAAGTATTGGCTATCATATGGTATAAGAAACTTGACCGGGTCAGGTCAGGTCACGGAGCTATGACGTCACAAGAGGAACAGCGTCCGGTACTATTTTTGAAAAGCGCCCGAACCACTATTTTGCTAATTCTTGTCACCTCAATGGGAATATGCAGCAATATTAGCTTCTATAGGGAGCAAATGGACCTCCCAAATCCAAAAATACAATCAGATTTCAAAAATTTAAATTTTGATTTTTCGAATTTCTGCCGCCGACTGTGACCTTGCCGACTTCCGGCGCTCCCAACGCGCCATTTTTAGAGCTAGGGAAACGAAATACATACCAAACGATAGAGAATTGATCAAGGAACACGATAGTGAAGGTTTCAAGTCGATATCTCCTACCGTTTTGCCGCAATCGCCGCGGAAAGTTGAAAAAGTCTATTTTTCCGAAAATTTGACCTTTGACCGGTCAAAAGTAGGTCAAATGTTGACCTAGGACCAAAAGATATACCACCAATCGCGAGATAGATCTCGGCGAGAGCAATCCGTTGGTCTTTTCCGCTAAGCTCTACGACGCTCCGTTTTCAAACGCCAAGGGGGGGGGGTCGCACCAACATGGGCGTTGTTTTTAACGAAGAACGTTTTACTCGCGATGCTCGGCGACGCCGACCCTACCGTTCGGACCGAAGCAGTCGGTGTCATCAAGCGGATCCGAGCGACACGCGAGTCACCAGTCCCGGGCCTCGTGCGGCCCTTCCGAGTCCCTGGGTCCGTGGGCGCCACGACGGCGCTGAACGATTCAGCGGCGACCTACTGGAGCCTGGTGGACCTCGACCGCGCCACGCTGGAGCCGCCGCTGACCCAAGGGATGACCGGAGACCAGTTGGAGAAGTTTTTGGAGACCCCGCTCCTGACCGGACTGCCGTGCCATACGCAGTCCACGGAGCGAGCCGTCAAAGTGACGACGGAGGCGGCCGGGCAGGTCAGAGGGGCTCGGCGACAGGACGGCCATGCGCTAAACAAGCTGGCGTGGAGGAGGCGAAACCCAGGACAGGTGGTGAAGAAGAAGTACCGCCCAGTCAAAACCACAGCAGAGAAGGAGGGATAGACAGCTCGGAGAGCTGAATGCACCAAATTCAGCAGCAGACCGGGAGTCGGGCGCGCCGGTCGGGGCGACAGGAAAAGCCAGGCACGGACGATAAGAAACTTATTTACTGCGCAAAGACCTTGTACATACAATGCTGTGTTTTCCGTCGTCCCGCTGTGATGAGCGCTGCTTGTCTGGCGCTGTGCGTCCGTCGTATTTTATGTGAAGTATGTTATGGGCACACAGTGCGGTAACTCGTGCAATACAGATCTCATTTGTAGACAATTGTCTTTTTCAGGCTGCACAGCGCCGTTAAATGGCCGAGAGACGTTGCAAACTCTCACACTTTCCTGGCAACGTCCATGGGATAATTAGTGTTTATTGTCATAGTTAAAGCGGACACGGTGCCCCAGTGCTCTCATGTTCCATTTCCTAGGTCCCAAAGGTTCCAGAGCCCATGGTCAGACAGCTCTCATTTGCCGTTAGACACGTTATTGGAAACAACCGCGAGTTAAATGCGATTTTTCGCTGAATTGTGTAGTTTTCAAGCTGGAATATATACAAATGTGATCAAATATAGGGCTAATGGCGACAAAAACATAAAAACATGCCAGTTCCTTCATACTGGAATGGAAACAACACTAAAAGACACTCTGAAAACCTTCCCCAAAGCCGAGACGTGAAGCCCATTGTGCTGCCATCTATGGACAGATCTATGAAACTCGGGAGCTGCGGGCGGCTGACTCTCGTCGGAAAAAAAACAGCGATAAAAAGCGGTAAAACGGGTGTAGATGTATGAAACTTGCCATGCCGGCGCAGAATTAGTGTCGTAACTTATATTATGCCATTTCACTATGCTTTTTAAATAGCAACTATCGAATACCTGCACCGAAAGTGCCAGAATCGCAAAAATATGCTCATTTTCCCATCTTTAAATTTTGGGGCGGGCTTCCAAATTCAAAATTTCTGGTCAAAAATGGTATTTTCGTACTCAGGGCATCAAGCCACGTCGATCTAGGGGCGTGCTGGCTAACTTCTAAAAAAAAGTTGTAAAAAGGGTCACCCTAATGCCGTACCCCTCTGAGCTACGCCGTACCCCTCTGACTGTCCACCGTACCCCTCTGACCCCCATCGTAACCTCCTAACCTCCCGCCACCGGGTGCCTCAGGTGAAGTGAGCGGACGGCGGGTCAGCCCGCCATGCGTCCAGAATGACCATCTCTGCCGAGCACAGTCGCCTGTCGGACGATGAAGCCGACGAGCAGGAGCTCGAGGAGGTGCCGCCCAAGCTCACACTCGCCGAGAAACTCAAGAAAAAGTACGAGGAAAACCTGCCCAAGCTGGACTTTTACGCCACGGTGCTGTTCAGTCTGGTGGCGATTGGCGCCTTCTTCGGCTTCCTGTTCCTGGTGCCGTTCGTGATCGAGCCGGCCGTGACCACCATCCAGATGGACTTTGAGGTGGAGCCCGTCACCTGCTGTGTCGTCTCGTTCACCGAGATGTTCGGCGCCAGCAACTGCTCCGACTGGACATCGTGTCGCGAGGGCTGCACGAGAGAGATCTACGAGTGTGTGAAGATCCTCGTGGCATACACAGACGCTGAGAACTTCACGTGCAGCGAGCGGCCGCCGGGTCACCAGTGGTTACACAACGAGGCGTACCTCTATCCGAACGTGAAGGGGTGCGGCTACCCGCCGACCCTGAACTGCACCATATTCCACGACCGGTTCCGTGATCCGAACGTAACGTTTCCGTGCTACTACAGCCGTGTGGACGCCACGCTGGTCATCACGGAGCTGGACCCGGAGGAGATCGAGCACCAGCTGATGCTGTCGATCGTGGCGCCGGCGGTGGCGTTCGTGGTGTCGATCGCCTACCTCGTGCACGCCTACCACCGCATGAAGCGGAAGGAGGCGGCCGCCGCCGAGCGCGACCGCCAGGAGAAGGCCCAGTGTCTGCTGGAGAGGGAGGAGGAGCAGGTGGCCACGCGCAGCAACGCCACCAGCACCTACTCCATCAAGTCCATCTCCAGCAAGATCAATGCGACGATGGTGAGGCTGGCCCGGGAGCGGCGCAAGGAGAGCGGGTAAGTGAGACGCACTGACGGGACGGGACGCGCGGCACAGTCAGCACCGTCAGGCCTAACTATCGATCCCTCTGCCGAGTCAGATACGATACTGCCGACAATGTGCTCTTGTCGGGAATGGGGGAGCTGCTATACTTAGATCAAACGTGCCTGAATTTTCAGCGTGCAAAATGACGATCGACTGACACTTTCTTTGCAGGTGGTCCATCCCGTTTTAGGCACTACCGGCTGGAACATCTTCACATAAAATGCCTTAACCTGTTAGAAGTGGATGACGTAGGGCCATGTCAAACCCATTTCAGCATCGCCGCAATATTGAGCCTGATTGAATAGCTGCAAGGTCGACGAACCATGGTGGTTTGGACGACGTATTTACGGGGTTTATTGCGTATCCTTCGGCACACTTTAATCCGAATCCTGCAGCGTCGACCGCGTTCAATGAATTTGTTGAACTAACTGCTTCAGGGAAATTGGTTTGGGTCGGGTGGACTGAATTGGCTGAGGTCACGTGACGAGTGGGAGCCGGGATGGAGCCTTTCGTTCAGTAAACTTGGCAGTGTAGGCTAAAGTAGCTAGCTCAACCTTAGACAATTTTTTTCTTTGATTGTCCTGCTAGCAAATTTCGAAGAAATCTGTTATACTGAAATGTAGGAACACAGGCCGCAGAGTTGGGGACCCGGTCGGGACAGTGCGTAGTTAGGGTCAGGTCAGGGTCGGGTGGGTCAGGATCGGGTCAGGGTCGGTTCAAAACAGGTCAGGGCCGGTGAGTGTCGGTCAGGTCAGGTTAGGGTCAGGTCAGATCGAGGGTCAGGTCAGGTCAGGATCAGATCAAGATCAGATCAGGGTCAGCTTAGAATTAGTTCAGGGTAAGATCAGTATTAGGTCAGGATTAGGTCAGGCGGGAATTGTTTAGGGTCGGGTCAGTATCGGGTCAGCCTGCCAGGGTCAGGTGCACCGGGCGGCCGGGCAGTCACCGTCGGCTGACCCTCTCTCTGCAGTTCGGTCGGCCTGCTCTCGGTCGATTCGCGCTGCTCCGACGACGACGACGACGACGCCCCGGGCGCCGAGAGCGAGACGGCGTGCTGACGCGCCCGCCCGCCGCCGGCGAGCACAGGCAGGGCCCAGCAGTTTGTGTCACCAGTTTCGCATGGGGAGCGCTGGCTCGGGCTGCCGGGCTGCCTGGGAAGCCCGGTGGGAGCGGCGGCGGCTGCGCTGGCCAGAGCTGGGCTGCAGTTCGGCGACTGAGGCTGATCATGTGACGGCCTTCCCGTCCCCCTGTATGGATTGTCTGTTTGTCTTAACGCTGTCTTGTGACCGTCCCTCAAGCTGCACCATGAGCCGGTCCCACAAAATACTTGTTAATCTGTTTTTATCCTCTGTTTATCTGACTTTTCATCTTCTGGTACCTATATTTGCAGCAATTTCTGCTGATCATTGACCACAGTAATAATCATTTAAACATCTGTAAGAATATCTAGCGCATTTCAATGAAATGCAATACTTTAAAACGAATTTCAGTTAGATTTATTGTTTATAAGTAAATGAATTTCAAAACGCATTAAATTCACTGAATGAATTTCAAATTTCTCATAAAAATTCTCCTTTTAAATTTTAAAATTTGTAACACTATTTGGTACCAATTTTGAAAAAAAAACGTTCTAAATTTAGTTGAATAAATACATTACCACCTTGCTCGTAAATGCTTTAATTCAGACTCTGTTTATGTTAATCGATCATGAAGCGTGTTTTTATTAATTTTGGGTGCACGGGACGTTTTCTATTTGCCCGTGTGACCTTAGCGCTCCATTCACGTAATGTGGGATACTTTCAGTGTTGTGCGTGTGGTTCAAAGGATCAAACAACTTATGAAACCCAAGCATATTTGTCAATCGTTATACAACTGTAAGTCTCCAATATAAATGTGTCAGTTGAGTAGGTACCAATAGGATTTGAAGCCGATAGTTCGAGTGAGCAGTAGACAAAACGTAGTCGGTTTCTAAGCATTCCGTACCATGTTGCTCTTCATGAGGCCTCGTAGATATGAAAAAATAGATGCAGTATTTCTTCATAATCTATTCTAGATTGAGACAGGTTTACAATAGAAGTGTTTTTGCGTATATACTTATCCTCTTAGGCCTATTACCTAATAGAGGCTTTAGAACGTCATCTAGTATGTAGAAAACCGCTGTATCACTAGAAGTGGATATATTGTAGATAGCGGTTAAATCAATGTTTCTCAGCCCGTCTACAGGACTAAAATACAGTTAAAAAAATTGATTCTCCCAACGTGCAGTGGAAAACAGGCTCAAATTTAATGAAGTTATTTCACCTCCATATCCGCAGCTTCCATGCGACTTTTGTAAATGTTGTTAAATACATTGTGTCAATAATTGCTGGCATAATTGTGAGTCATGCTTCAAAGCATTCATGTACTCAACAGATTATCTAAAGATATCACGCAATATTTGGATGAACTATTGACAGTGCTCTTCATCTCAATCATTCAAAATTATTTTCTGTAATTGTCACATGCATAAGTACAACTTATCCAGCAGCATCCTGATATTTTTGGTTATATACCAGGGCTTGCCTGGAATATTGTTGTTTGTTGCTCTACTGTTGGGCGAAATTGTCATTCATTCCGGCCTAAGATCGAGTGTAGTTGAACACAAAAGACGAGACCAAAGGCTTAGATGATTAACAAATTAACTTAGTGAGTTCTGATCATTATAAAAGTTACAATTCAATTCAAGTGTCCTTGAAAATATAGCAACGTATCAGGAAAAATATAATTACAGGCAACAGAAAAAGTCGTTAATCGCAACAAAGTTTACGAGTATAAGTAGCCACCATTCTCAATGCTTCTATATCAAACTTCTAAGCCTCTGGTAAAATACTGGACTGAATGGCTGTATGCGCTACACGGTAGTGTACCGAGGAAGATTATAACCTGTGTGTAGCTAAGGGCGACTGGTCGTTAGACGTTGTGCGTAGAGTATTTGCTGGTATGTGTGTAAGTACGTAGTTAGCCGGATATGGGTAGCTAGTGATAGAGTAGATCATACGTTTTTGGATGCTCGTATCGAATTTTTGCAGCCATTGAGTGGTTGCGTACTAGAATACGGCCAGTAGTTGAAATGGTGTAGACTTGGTTGTACATTGTAGGTATAACACTACCGTTCAGATATTTTGTATGACTTTGTATGTACATTCCGATTTGTACAGGTTATGTCGCCTAGACTTCATGAACATACAACATTGCATGAGTGCATTAACGTTGCTGTTGACATGAGAAACTCGAAGAAAATATCAATTTGCTAATTTTAGATATTAAGGGTCGTTTCAAAGGTGAACTGACGGTGTATGTACAGTCAGTTCAATGTTGTGAATTGTAGTTTGTTATACGTTTAAATGGGTGCTTAAATCGATTCATTTACTTTTTTAGACATCGAACTCAAATGTCACACGTTACCGCGTAACAAACTTCAACATTATGGTGGCGCTCCTAACCGACTTCTTACTCTGTATACCAGTCCGCAGCGCTGTTCGGTGTCGGTTTCTTTGTTAATCAGCACGCTGCCGGTTTTCCCATATATACGAAAGTTTCTTGCTGGCGTTTCTTGGCCTCTCATTGGTGAAACGCAAAGACCACGCGAGTTCGACCAATGGTAAGCCGGAAAATGAAACTCAACTGGCAGCCTACCGATAAAAAAAAAACGAATACCGAACAGCGTCGACCTCATAACACCGCCCACGGCTCTGACCGATCCCCGGTCAACGGTTGACCTGCGCGGCGGCGCTGACTGACCCCAGGGTCACCATTTGACCCCATCACGGCTGTCGACAGTGACGACGAGGCCATGGAGCTGGAGCAGGTTGTTCCTGAGGCGCGTCCGCCCAGCCGCTATCTGAAGCCGGGCAGGATGCCCAGCGGCAACCGGCACAACTTGCTGGAGCCACTGGAGCCGCCTGCCGGCGCTTCCGACCAGCCGGCGCCGCAGCCGGAAAGGTGTGGGGGAGACAGGGGGAGGAAGAGAGAGAGAGAAAGAGAGAGGGGGGAGAGAGAAGGAGAGAGAGAGAGAGAGAGAGAGAGAGAGAGAGAGAGAGAGAGAGAGAGAGAGAGAGAGGAGAGAGAGAGAGAGAGAGAGAGAGAGAGAGAGAGAGAGAGAGAGAGAGAGAGAGAGAGAGAGAGAGAGAGAGAGAATGATAAACATTCTTTAACATCTTTTTGCATATGATATTTTTTAGTCATGTCGTTATCAACGGAGTGTTATATGCAGTAAAACAATCTAGAGGAAAGAAATTTTCGTGGAGTGTTCAGTACGAAAACAGACTGATATCTACGTGATATAAGAGGTTCACCGATTCCCAAGCGCTTGCTTTTACTATGCCTCCTTATATGGGAGGAAGCAAAATGTCTAAAACTATGTATTTCGTGACGGGGTCCACTTTTCCTCAAATCCGATTTATTTGACTTCGATGGGCTTCTTGACCTAAGCTGCCCTTTGATTGAAACTAACAGCTGGCATGGTTAGCCCTTGGAAAATGCTTACCCTTGAACAAATGGACATCGGTATACAAGCGTCTTTACTTTACCAAAAGGCTCCACCGCAGTGCGGTGCGGTGTTTTCTGGCTGTGTTTCACCCTCCTCCGCCCTCGGAGTGGCGAGGTACGGAACACTTCCAGGGATCGATGGCTCGAAATGTCAGCAGCGCCCGCCACGGCGCCGACCCTCCAAGTCCGACTGCATATTTGAAAGAGCTGGTTGCATGTTCACGGCCGATAGGAGCCGGGTCTCTGGGCCTGGCCGGGGTCGGTGGAACTCAGGGCGGCGGGGCGGTCGGGTCTGAACGACCGCGAACCACTCAGCAGCGAGATCCGAGGGCCGGAGTCGGCCTTTACAGCCCAGCTCGAGTGGCGAATGGAGTGGAAACAGGCCCCTGAGACTGGATCAGATATTCAAACATCCAATCTTAATCTATTCAAGATTGCATGCATATGAGTCGCTCAAATTTCTATAAAAAAAAGGTATGGAACTGTTTGGGTACCTAGCTGTGCTCGGTTAAAACGATATTTGTACGGTTAAAATGGTACGGTACGGAAAAAAATGCAATTTCTAAAACGATACAATGTTTTTTATTGCAGCAATAGTTTGATACGATAGCAGAAGTGCCATGGCTATATCCTCGCAATGATTAGACAGACAGATCTAGCTTCAAAATTTACGAACTTATGATATCTTATTTGCTTCAGCCTTCAGTTAATTTTAAAACATTTATTGTATATCGACATCTAGGTATATCGACTCCTTCATGCATTGAAACCCTAATTTAAAAAAAAAAAAAACACGCACCTGAACTAGCATACCTACCAATAACGTCCCACACACTCACGTCTGCAGTGAAGTTTGAGTGGGGGTGGATGGGGGAGGGTCTGTCATGGTCCGCCTGTTAGGGTGTGCGCCCAACCGGCCGCCTCCCGTGCTATACATAGCCGGCGATCGGTCGGAGGCAGCGTGGCGTCGCCCGGTCGGTCATTAGACTAATAACGGGTCGATGACGCCGCCACCGGTCGAACCGACCACCGGCTCCTGCGGGCCACGCCACTCCAACACAATTTCACACGTCGCCACACTGATTAATGAAGCTGTTTTTGTTCGAGCGATGGATGGTCAATCGCTTGAGCGTCTTTCTAAATTGAATTGGACGCTGCTTCTTTGAAAATGGCTTAAGATGTAGGTGAATGATAACTGATATTACGATACCCTAATACTTCATAATGCGTCAAATGTTATGCTCGTAATAATACTGTTGTCTTCAATTGTCTGAAAGACGTTTAGCAAACTACTAACCTGTTTTGTTTCTTCCAGCGGAAAAAGCGGAATGTCACCAGTAGAAACGTAGAATTTTCATTTATCTGCAGGTCAGTAACACCACAGTTTCTCTTTTAGATTCACAATCTGTGGACTGTGAGCTTTTCATTCCACAAAAAAAAAACACTGGTTGTGGCCCATTTTTTAACTACGTTTTTTTTTTTTCTAAGATACAACATAACGCAATAATTGTTTAACAATAATGTTGCAAGGCAGGCCTACGTTTGCAATTGTACGTACGTGTAAGTACATTTCTGTTTAATACATGCGCAGCTCTGTAACTTCATGGACTTTTATTGGCACCCATCCTGACACACCGCTGCACCTTTGACAGGACATACCGACCAGTATTGCTTCCATGGCGTGACGGTAGCGGCTGTGACGGCCCGTCACGGCGACTGTGACGGCCCGTCACGGCCCAGGCGTCACATCACCGTCCTACTGCTGGGGTCACTCCGCCATTGCCTCAGTGACGTCATCAGTCCGATTTCAGTGACGTCAACACGGGTCGGATTCGCCGCCGCCTAGAGCCGCGCTAGTTTTTAAAGGGAGTGGACGATTCTTGTGTGACCTGGGTCATGCATCTGGTGATTGCCGGCGTGCGGCGACCCACAGCAGTGCTCATCAACGCTTTTATAATGTTAGTGCATGTCTGGGTGGCGAGGCGTCATGTCATTGTGGTGGGATGTTTGTCGAGGCACGGTCATGTGGCAGGGTAGGTGCGACTGCTGTCGTTTGACCCAACGCTGTCGTCTGGAGCTAACGGCTGAGACGCGCGTTGGAGGCAAAGGCTGCAGGCTTACCGCTGCCCTGGATACTGGACAGGGACATTTGGACACTTCCGGTGGCAGCGCTAGGTGAAAGTGAAGGACTGCAGCTCTGGTGATTTCGCTCGGCAATAAGAAAATGATCTGCGTGTCTGCAGTAGCCGGTGGCTGGGGCTACGCTAACATCTGCGAATGTGGTGATGCCTTCAGTGATGGTGTGTCCTGCGCTGTGGGCCGGCTTTAATTGCGCTCAGTGCTGATTTATTGAATCGCGGCAGTTACCACGGTGATACTTTAGCAAAGCTCATGGCGTTTTCACTTTTGTCAGAACTATACCTGCGTTGTCTGTTGCGTTAGTTGACGAGCGATCGTGTGGGTAGTCTCAATTTGAGACCACCCACACAATCGCTCGTACATTGTTAACTAATACTTTATCATCCGACAGGATAAGTGTCCCACAGATCATCCGATGCGACTCACTTCACCGCGGTTTAGCTGATGCTTGCTTGGAAGCGCGTGTCTCTTGTGTGTGTTTTGCTGGTTGTCACTTCAAACCCGAGGCGCTGCTTCCCAAAACGATTTATCTTGTTGAATAGGTAGAAAAGAGAGTTATATTGAACTTCAGCAATTTTAACTGGTAGGGATGCTGGTAGGTGTATGGGGGTAGGACAGGTCTTTGTCATATCGCGGCTCCAGTTAAATATGAAACCGTATCCCAATAGGTGTCGAATGTTGGGAAGATCCGTCAGCACTATTGTTGTTGAGCATATGTTTTTGCGTCGTAGCTTTAATTTCGGATGCTAGTCAGCCCGACCGGTTTCAAACTTCTCCAACTTATTTAAAGTTTTGACACGATAATTTGTACGATTTACAGCTCTTGAAAGGCTTTTCCAAACCTAATGTTAGTTGGAACTCCTTTGAGCTGGTAGCCAGCAGGGTGCAGTCGCATGCAAAAGGGGCAGTCGCTGGACCGAGAAGTTTAGGTATAAAGGAAGCAATTGAATTGTGTAATGTTCTATGAAGTTTTAGCTTACAATGCACTCGTTGGAGTTATTAATTTACTTTAGTTGATGATGTTATTTTTAGTTTTACTATGCTACATTTATTTTTCAGCATTCCTTGTATTGTTAACCTTCTTGATTTTGAGGAATCCACTACAATTCCATTGATTATGTTAAGTGTAGCTAGCGATACAGTTGGAAGTCGACTGGTTTCCCGACTTGTTGCACTGGTGACCAGCGAAGTGGGGTTATTCCATAATTTTTTGGTAAAGCCGCGTATGACAGATTGTTACTAGAGATGTCAATCGGATACCAACTTTTTGGTATACCGATACCAAACCGATACCAACTTGGTATTTGGTATTTCAATCGTAATGTGTTTGGTATTTTGTTGGTATCATAAGCCCTCACTTATGTATAAGAGGCTAAAAAATCGGTAAAAAGTCGGTATTTCCCTCAGTTTCCCAAGTTGGTTTGGTTTCGGTATTTTCCCGTGGTTTTGGTTGGTATTTGGTTTGGTATCGGTATTCCGATTTTCCGTAATTGACATCACTAATTGTTACCCTCGCTGAGCACCCGCTGCTATTCCGGCGCTCACCCCAGACGCGACCCGTCTGACTGACGCGAGCAGTCCCTGCTCTGGGACCGCCTCGGCAGTGCCCGACCGTACAAAGGAACGGGCGCAGCGCGCGCTGAATAGGGTCCCCTCAGCGGCCCGCTGGTCGGCCGGCGCGCCTCGGCGAACTGCCTGTGATACCGGACGTTGTAGAGTGCGCACGTGCGTCTCCAATGATTGGCTCGATCGCTGTCCTCGGCACGGCGCCGCACTCGCGCGCACCGCCGTGCTGACCGCTCACTAACTCGCTGTTCTCGCGCTCGTATACTCCGACTCTGTGCTCTCTACTGACCCTGTTCTGTGCTCTCCGTGCTCTGTGCTCTCTACTGACCGTGCTCTGCTTCCTCCGACCCCGCTCTCTGGTGTGCTCTCCCTTGCGCCCGGACGCTCCGACTTGCAATGTGTAATAGTCGCCGCCAGTCGGCTGCTGGAATACGGCTCTTCGTAAAGCGTAGTGGCAGGTCTTGTCTTCAGCTACGTGTTTACAGATGTCTATGTACTCATCTCCAGACACCTAGAACTATCGTCTTTACTTTACATTGGCTGCGATCGTGCGTAAAGCGTTACGAACAATAAAAGAGTTATGCATGATGTATTCTAATTCGGGCTGATGATGATCCTACCTATACCTAATTTGGTGCCGTTGCCACGCGGCGCGCATCCATGGCGCAGGGACCGATCATTGTGGTCACGGATTTAAAATGGTCGCCGGTCACCGACCTCAGGCAGCCTCGGGAAACCTGACTCCGTCACACAACAATGCAGAGCTATCATGACGATCATCATGGCTTATTTTCGAAGGCTTATTTATTCATTTGGTAGCTCATTTTCGCAGCTGTGTTGCTGCTTAATTTGAGATATGAAGTGTGTACAAATAAAGGCACGACAGACATTTCACTACTTCTTATCTTATATTTTTCTCGTGCACACATCAACGTTCCCTGGGCGATTGCATCCAGGTGATTGGCACAAGAGTTAGCTGAAATCTGGATGATCCAGCGTTAGTTGATGTAGCAGCTACCGTCGTATTGGTGGCAGTACTTTGGCTGCATGGTCTCGGCCTGGACGCCGCGGGCCACCATTCGCCGACGGTGGTGCACGAGGCGCCACTGGGCCGCTAGCGAGTCCGTCTCCGGCTCCGCCCACAGACGCTCGGCCAGCGCCGCACCGCGAGGCCACAGCTTGGTGTCCAGGTTGGCGTCGTCGGCCTGCTCAGTCCACAGCGCCGCAGAGCCTCCCAGAATCTGGGTAGAGAAATCTGACTGACGAAGCGGCTGCGAGGGACGCCGAGAGGCCACGGTGTCAGAGCTACTCTGGAAGCTGTGCGCAATCTCCCGGGGACTGTTATCGTAGACGGTCTGCCAGCTCTTGTAGGGCGAGCACCAGTTGTTGCCCTTGCCGACCCAGGCGGAACCACCACAGTCCAGATACCAGGCGTCGTAGTTAGAGAGAATCAGCTCGTAGCCCTGTTTCAGCAGGTCGCCGATCTGCTGGTCTTTGCCCGTGGTCCAGATCTGGATGATGTACTTGCTGGGGTCGAGACGCGACTCCTCGGCAGGTCGCTGGGTGAGGTGCGACGTCCACAGAATCGTCTTCTGCTCGCCGGCGATGCTGGTCCACATGTCGTAGACACGCTCCTGGAACTGGATCCACAGCTTCATGTACTCCTCGTCGTCGGTGGGGTCGCCTCCCTTCTCCTTGACGAACGCAGCAATCTCCGGCGTCGTCTTCCAGCAGTTCAGGTTGATCTAGAAAAAAGCAGCTTTGTAAAACGCTATTAACCTTGCACAAGATCAATGCCTTTTGCTTTTGATATTACAAACTTCGGATGTCACTTATAAACGGCTTGTAGCGTCGGAAGGTAATCAATTGTAGAAAGTGCGTTTTGTTGTTGTTTAGGACGGATGCAAAAGTAACAGTAGTAAAGTAGCAGGACGTGTAGATTCATTACCTCGTCCCCACCAATGTGGAACAGGTCCGGCTTGAAGACATCGCGATATTCCACCAGAATCGTCTTCAGAACCTTATAGAGGTTCTCATTGATGATATTCATCTGCCCGCAGGGTGGTTCGACGCAGAACTCCTGCCAAGGCTCCTGTAAAAATAATTACAGTTAAATCACGACACCAACGAATGAATGTGATAGTTCATATTCCATTGGAGAAGTTGGATATTGCCTTATTTTTTATCATACTTTATTAACTCCTTATGGTAGCAAAGCCTTTTCAAAGCGAAAACCAAAGGACTTATCACGGAACAGTCAGCCTTTCGTCGAGGCAGCTATAAGCTGACAGAGGTGCTGGCACCTGTCAGAACTCACCTTGCCCAGACAGACGGTGAGATTCCCCATCCCGGCCTTCTCGCCCCACTGCCAGCCGTAGCCGACGTGGGCGGGCATGTCCAGCTCGGGCAGCAGGCGCACACCCCGCTCCAGCGCGAACTGCACCAGCTCCTCCACTTCCGCCCGGGTGTAGACCTCGCGCGGCGAGTAGGCGCCGTACTGCGCCAGCCGCGGCTCGCCCGTGATCTCGATCGGGAAGCTGTGCGTGTCGGTGATGTGCCAGTGCAGCGTGTTCAGCTTGTTCATGGCCATGGCGCCGATGGTGCGGCGCAGGCCGGCCACCGAGATGAAGTTGCGCGACGTGTCGAGCGTCAGCGCGCGCACCGGGTACACGGGCGCGTCTCTGACGTCGGCCGTCACCGTCATCAGCGCGTCGTTGGCGTCGTCGTACGCCACCAGCTGCGAGAGCGTCTCCATGCCGTGGCGCGCGCCGAAGAACGTCTTGGCCTCGATGTGCGCCTCCAGCTGGTCGGCGTCGGTGTGCGTGATGTTCAGCTTGTAGGACTCGTCAGTCTTCAGCGTGAGCGACGCATCAGATCGCTCTACAGTGACGCGGATTGTCAGCTGACGCGTCGCCAGGTTGGCATCCCTTGCAGAAGAAAGCTTCAGGCAGCTTCCGCCAGGAGGTCGCATGTCACGGAGCGTTTCCTTGAGCCTGTTACCGGCCTTCTCAACAAGGCCGCGAACATCCTGCGGGGCGTCCACGATGACAATAACCTGGCTGTACGTGAAGGACAGTGGTGTTTTGCCGAGGGTGATGGCCCCGGTCGGTTTCGGCCACAGGGTGAATCCCTTGCCACAAGTCAGCTTGCAGCCGCCGAGGGTCATGCCATTGGTAGCCTCGCTGACAGGAGTGCGCACACAGGCCCCCTTCTTACATTCCCACATCCAAGGGAACGTTAATGGGCTTCTGTGGGAGGAAATGGGAATATCAGGTGAGTGAAGTAAGAGTACAACGTTAGACATGAGTGTTTGGTAGGTATAAGCTTTCGTACTGCATATTAACCGAATGTTTGTTGTCAATAGTTAAAACATTAATCGTTAGAAATAAGAATTGTGTTTTATTATTGGAAAACGAATCATTTCCTGACAATTTGGGGAAAGCTGCCTGAGATCAGTACCTACATCTTAATATCCTTGTGGTACTTTTTTATAGATAAGTACAGTCTGTCTTAACCCGCGCACCGACGGGGGTCTGCGCCAACTTAGTACCGCGCATGACCGCCCCACCCCCCCCACCTGAGATCTCGAGAACGAAGCAAGATAGCGACAAGCGGTAAACGGCATCGGATACGCACGGTCAAGATCTACAATTTTTACTAAGGTCATTTTCAGGTCAGGTCAAAGATGACGTCACAGGGGTCGAAAAAGTCAAAATGGCGGCGCTAAATATGGAGAGAGTTTTTCTCGAATAACTTTCGAATTAGTCAAGATAGGAACAAACTAAGGGCATCATCGTGATCCTCTCGTCAATCCGCATCGAATGATATATATATATATATATATATATATATATATATATATATATATATATATATATATATATATATATATATATATATATATATATATATATATATATATATATATATATATATATATATATGCGTGTATTTCGGCAACAATCCTTCCTGTAGGCACTTGGTGTTAAATATGACCGCGTATTGGCAGTTTATGAACTGTTTTTGAGTTCGTTCGACTGATCTAACCACTCGCTTTTCTTGTTCTCCCAAGTGAAAAATGAGGTCACCGATAGATGAGCTCGTGAACAACACACACATCTTGACGAGAGAGCGATGCAGGCTTAAACTTCAAGTTAAAGAAGCCGTCTTGATCAAAGAACTTCAGCCGAAGCTTAACATTCAGTACGATTTTCAAGGCGTACTGAAACTGTACGATAGCTCTTTATGATTTTCGGGATATCTCCAGTCAGAAGTTTTACTTGCATATTTTAGTGCGTGATTTAAATTTCACTATGTAAAATATTCCGTGAATGTGACAAATGTGGCATTTCTGCTCCTATATTTTGTGACATAGCTGTGTCAGGGTGTTTCACTAAAAGTGTCAAAAAGTAAAAGGTCATAATGCACATAATAACAATGTTTTCTAAGGAAATTTGCATATCATTTCATCCGCAATTGTTGGACATTTGAATACATAAAAACGATATCACCGTCACTCAAACCTATTCCACACATCTGCCCCTTCTTTTGATGCACCGTTTCGGCACGTGTCCGGAGGTACCTCACAGCCCGTTTTCGTCTTCAGCGTCCAGACTGTCGGCAAAGCCTTGAATTGTGCTCTTCAGCTCCCGAAGTGATGCGACTTGAGTCTTCCTCAGCTCTGCGAGAGCTACTGAGTCACTGACCAAACCAGAGGCTTAGCGGTAACAGATCGGGGCTTCGCGCTGGCCAGGGGCGGGCGGCGAGGCAGCTGATTATTCGGCCCAGGAGCTTCTGGTCCAGTCAGTTCCTGGTGGCTACAGCCGTTACAGTGGTTGATTTTAATAACTTGTAAGGCCCTGGCTATTTCTGATGATGGAACTAGCTTCTTGTTATCTTCAAAGGCCCTCAAAAAGACCCTGACCTTCTCAACGGTTTCCGCCGAGAGGTGGGGGCAACCCCGCCTTTTTTGGACTGGAACCGGCATCGAAGGAACCCTTTTAAACCTCTCAACAAGCCCTTTGAAACTTTTATAATCTGGAACGTAGCGAGGTGAGAGAGTAAAAAGTTTCCTGAAAAGTCGGCACACGGTTTCAATGTTTCTGGTGGCACCAAATGTACAAAGTGTAATTCATCCCTCCTGTTGCGGTGTAAATAACCTGTTCTTGTTCTGCATAAGGAAAAAATAACTAGTAACTTTGGCCTCCTGCCCTCGCTCCGTATGAGTGTAAAATATATCTTAAATGGATAAATAATAAATGTCCAAAAATTTGCAACAAAGCCACATGCGCAGCCACGTGATTTGCATATTCTATATATCTTTAATAGGCATTTACTTTTTGACAATTTTAGTGAAACACCCTGTAGGTTCTGAGATTGTGATTGAACCATAAAGTAGTCAAAATGTAGATCATGATGTACGTTCACACATATTTACTTGTCTATATTTATATAATTTCAGGTGTGAGTAGGATATTGCTTGATAATGTGAAAAGTTCACGAAACGTTGCAAAGAGAATGAACAATGAATCTATCGGTGACCTCATTTTTCACTTGGGAGAACAAGAAAAGCGAGTGGTTAGATCAGTCGAACGAACTCAAAAACAGTTCATAAACTGCCAATACGCGGTCATATTTAACACCAAGTGCATATATATATATATATATATATATATATATATATATATATATATATATATATATATATATATATATATATATATATATGTTGACCTCGAAAGGTCAAGGTCAAAGGTTGACCTCAGGTCACGTGACCTCGAGGTCATCATGTATATCATTCGATGCGTCTTGATGAACTGAACACAATGAGACCATCCACGCGTCTGTATCTTGTTCCTGTACGGAGTTATTGGCCAAAAACCTTTGGTGACCTTTGATGACGTCACATGACCTCACAGCTGCCCAACAGCAAAACAGACCTCAAGGTAGTGAAGGTTGATCGTATATGAAGTCATGTATGGTATATGGGGCCATTCCGACCCGTTTTAGTGGTAAAAACAGGGAGTTGATTTTTCCCCCATTGACTTATAATGGGGAGGTCGCGAAATTGACCTGACCTTAGGTCACCGATATCAAAATTCCGAGATATACAAATTGTAGATACTAATGACCTAATAACATCCTGCGACTTTCAAAGGCCTCCGACATCTACTGTAGCTCTGGCACGGTGACAAAGTTGCAAAAAAGTGACTTGAGGTTGGGTCATTCAAAGTGACCTGGTGACCTGACCTTAAAAGGTAGGAGGTTCAAACTTGCACACCATGTGTAAAATTGATTAGGGAATAGTCATACCAAATTTCGCGGCGCTACGCGCCGCGGTTTTCCCGCTATTTGCGAAAAACCTCAGGGGGGCGGATATCCGCCCCCCCCGTCGGTGCGCGGGTTAAAAGTACCGCGCAAAGTGACGGTGGATCCATCAAGCCTGACCGAGAAAGGGCATGTTTTAATTTAAAAGTCACCGACCAATTGACCTAGGGAATGGACAAGGATGCCAATTGCTTCGGTGACCCAAATTTAGCAGGCCCTTGCTCAGTCAGGCTCGATGGATCCACCGTCACTTTGCGCGGTACTTTTAAGACAGACTGTACAAATACATATCAGGAGACCTAGATAGCTGTAGGGCCATTGAATGAATAAATAAACAGGCGTATACGAGTGAGTGAATAATTATTTGCTGACACTACCAACTACCTACACATGATAGTTAATGATATTACACATAATAGCACATAATAATAGTATAGAATTTTACTCACGTCAGCTTGCACACGTCCTCCCTGCGTGCCCACGCCTTGGTCAGAGGTTCCATGTCATTAGCTGCCGAAACTGCCAGAAGGCAGATGTAGAGTACCGCCCTCATCTTGGAGTCTCAATGCTGAAATAAGATACGAGCATTGAACCACGGGCTAAGTGATACAGATGCTGCTGAATAGTATTTTGACTGTACGGTCGTGTTTGAATAGCATTTGCATATTACGGGTAATGCCTTCTATATGCGCCCTCGCCCCCCCCCCCTTTTGAATGAAAACTCTTTTCTCAAAATATGCATGCAGTGAATGTAATCTCTGCTTTATTACGATTCTTGAACAATTTGTACCGAAGTACACCAGCGTTCTTGTAAAGGAAATTATTTCTATGGTCATTTATTTTACTACACCCTCGCAAAATATTATAATAGCAATGCCGTAGGTAACCCGAAAATAAGGCGGGTCAGGATTATGAAACACCATATTTTACCATAACTCTCAGTCTCGGCACGTGGCTTCTGGCAGTACCTAGACCAAAAAAAGCTAAGATATGAATACTAATTTTATATATAGCATTAATCGGTCTATTATTTAGCAGATAGGGGAGAGTGGGGTGGGTTGTATCAGTTTTTACTCCGAGACCCATAACCTCGTAACTATCCGTGATAAACTCATTATTTCCATACTATCTCCTTGCTTGATTCTTCTGCTTTTTTGTGCAAAGTAACTTTTCCGCTATCTCTACCAGTTTTTCTTCCACGGTCTGCCGAATGGAGCAATGTTTTTGATACAACTTGCCCCATGGCTTGGGTGAGTTGTATCACATGGTGGGGTAATTTGTATCACTAGGTATTTCACGTTTCAGGGAGTGTGCTTGCTACTGGTTTTGAACATAACAACATTAAATGGGGTTAATACAATGTATTTGCTCAATCAAAGGCTTCACTTTTATTAGACCAAACTTAGGTCAATGCAATCCGAACGAAACATCGAAACGAACGAAACATCAACAGACTAGATGCAAAAGTGGCCCGTTAAGAGCAAAGAAGCCAACACATTGTGCCGAAATGGAACGAGTATTGATTAGCTACCTACAAACGCGAGACAGGGCTTAGCTTTCGCGATCAAAAGCAACATGCCCATACATACATACATGTTACAACATACCCCACCCGGCTCTGATACAACATGTACCTCGCCGTCATCTTGGAAAAAACATCCTCGTGCTCAAAAACAGCGGACAGCTGGAGAAATCCATTTTCACTCACGCAGCCTTAGAACCTACCCTCACCACCGCTACGGAGATCTTTCAAATTCGTGCACATCTAAATGCCCAAAACACACATTTTCTTGCAACTCATTTTTTTAGAATGACATTAAAAAAACATAAAATCGGCTCTCACCCCGAGACGCGTCCACCCAGCCACACGACAGAACAGGGAAAGATGGCGCCCGGAAAACCTCGTCGGCTGGTCGTGTCACGGGTGCTATCTATTGGATAAGTTTTGCACAATTCGCCCTGATACAACTTGGACATGATACAACTCTCCCCGCTCTCCCCTAATGACGTGGACGTAATTTTGACAGACAAGCTTAGGCCGAAAAAAGTTATAAATGCTCTTCGAGCCACACCTACATATGCATATTATCGGCTGTCAACCGCGCAAGATAAGAAGCCTCCGCTAAAAACAACTTAAATAAGGGCAACCGCAACAGCTTACTGTTTAATTAATATCTTGAAAATGTGAGCATGGTGACAGTGATGTCTTCTTTGCAAACCAGTATAACGCCTTTTGGGGCGACTAACGGAGCGAGCGAGAGGGTGGGCCTTGCACGTGCGAAATTGCGAGGGGGTACCTCCAACTGACTTGTGCACGGCACCCTACTAACTGGTCTCTAGCGATGTGCCAAATTTGGGCACAATCGGCCCAGCCGTTCTCGAGATCTGGAAGCGGCACCCTGCACGTGCGCACGTGCAAGATGGGTCCCAACTGACTTGTGCACGGCACCCTACTAACCGGTCCCTAACCGTGTACCAAATTTGAGCGCAATCGGTCCAGCCGTTCCCGAGATCTGGAAACGACCCCTGCACGTGCGCACGTGCAGCAGCACCCCAACTCTGGCACATGTATATGCAGTGCCTAGTGGGTGCCTACCTACATGCCAACTTTCAGCGCAATCGGCCAAGTAATTACCGAGATATTGCAACAATTACAAAATTGACACCTCTTCGTTTTGCACGTGGCACGTGCATAAGGGGTCACCCACATGCATCGGGAATAGTCCAATACTTGGTAGAAGGAATGAAGATACCCTACAAAAATTACCGCGTGTAAATCGGTCAAGTGGTTGCTGAGATATAAGCCTCGCAAAAGCGTGACCACGGCCGGCCGGCCGGCCGGCCGGCCGGCCGGCCGCTCATACTCGGAAATTTCCGTTAATCTAAGGAAAGACTACGCTCGCTTCGCTCGCTCCGTAATAAATGCTTCCCATTTTCCCATTTTCATTACCTGAGTTCAAATCAAGATCATTACCTCCTCATTTCCATGATAAGCATTTCCTCACCCGAACCGCACAAAACACTGCCCGTCTCTGAGCTTGACGAAGCAAACACGATAGCCTGTTAATGCGCTAAGAGAGAGGAACAAGTCTCTCTACTGCAGATGATAAAGATATATCATAAAGTGCACTTAAGAGTCATGAGCAATACCAACAATTACTAACCACCCAACCACCCCATAATCACCCAAAGTCATACGTATGCAATCACCTTATTCCAAAATTTACTTAGTGTTTCTTACCATACAGTCACTTGAAGGATGTGTCCTGCGAGCTGTCCGTGTTCACTGTCCCCGCTTCCTCCAGTCCCGGCGACCGAGGACTGACCGCCGACCTCCGTCCTCATTCTGTCTCCCTCCTAAAACCTGTCCAGTCCTCGCCCCAGGGCACAGATAATGAAACGATTAAATACAGTAGAACCCGAACTAACACAATGGTCATGGAAAGTAGCGCCTACGTGACCTCATGATTGGGAGGAGTTTTGGCCGGGTGGCGGGCTTGGACGTGTTCTAAATGTGCTTCTTTAAATTTAACTATAAAAGTATTTCTCTTTCGGATTAGTATTGTGCAATGATTGACCGATGCGTTCAGCTTCAAGAATATCAGTTGAATTCGTGTTATCATAGTGTAATAAATAACTTGGATAAAAGATAAAACTATAAATAAATCATGTCATTTATTACACTATGTTGTTACGTTGCTGCGTTAAGCAAAGACACCGGTGAAAAGTAACAAAATATTAACATTCCATTCCATTTTCAATTGCATTCCGGCGTAAGGGCTTTCGATTTCCGGCTAAGGAATGCCGATCTACCCAGTTATTAATTCGAATGTCAGAAGCTGCCCTCTTACCTATGCATGTCGCGTTTGAGTGAATGTTTCAGCAGCGGGTCACGGGATGAAATGCAGGACTAGATGAAATGCATTGGGATGGGTGGCAGCAGATCACACTTTCTCTTGCGCTTGACCACGCCAGGGGCTGTTAGCTAATGAAGCGGCGCACTGCAATGGTGGATAGACTGAGACTACGAGACGTGCTGAGTGATGAACTGCAGTTCACCATTGAGTGAATGGAGTTCATGCACTCAATGTGCAATGCCGTCGGCTGAGTGTCGTGCTTCCTAAGATCGCAAAGGGTCATTCACCCACTAAGCCTACCAGTGCGTTTGTTGTCAATCCTTATGGAAGCCAGGCTCCGTGAAAAGATGCTTATATAATGATGCCGACGTTCGTGCATGACATTTGACAAGACTTACTAGCATTGCACAACGGTACGCCTACAGTTCTAACCTTTCCGACCAACTCATAAGAACAAAGAAGCTGTCAGTTAGACACTCCTGGTCTGGCTCAGGAAGCCACATCATGCGCCTAAACTGCTAATCCAGAAAACACGAAGCAATGACACAAAATGTCGCTTCGGCCACTTCATCCCAATAAGAAGTTATCTATCTTTGATCGCACTCAGACGTTGCCTAATATTTCAAATCGGTAGGAACTAAGAACCTAGCATGTATGGTTCGAAATATGACAAACCCAGGTTTTCTGCGGAGAGATCTGGGAAACCTTAAAAGCTCACAGCCTTTTCGCAGTCTTCTGCATCATTCTTCACTCTAGCGCAAATCTTGACTGCTACTGGCGACAGCAATTCCGTATTCAATCGGCTCTGTCCGGACCCCATTCAATTCATAACTGCCCACGTCGCGCGCCTATATGGTCCGGTGAGAGCGGTCCTTATTCGTCTTCTTTGCCATCGGGACTGAGACATCAGCTCGTTAAAACCAGGCTCATGCTCACCCGATCAGGTGGCATATATCTCAGAGGGACGCTACGCTACATACGGCGGGATCAATCACCGAAGAGCATCAGTCGCTGATCAACTCAGCTCAGTAACCCCCCACATAGATTTCCTCATCGCTTGACCCTCAACTCACCTCAACAGACCAAAAAGGCCCAACCCAAACGACCCAAACAATGAAGCGAACATTCCCGTCTATAGAGCGCCGGACGGGATGTGATGCAACACAGCCTGATGGCTATCTCTGGACTGCGTCGCCTCCCCCCGCGACCGGTCTGGGTGCCCGGGGGCGATGGGCGGCCCCCGCCGCTCACTACCTGCCCGCGCCCGGCGCCGTGACCCCACTGCAGTGAGAGGGAGGTGCACGGACAGGTTGCACGCTTCGACAGCGCTCTGCACGGTTTGGAGCAAAGCTGTCCGGTACGCAGTGCACAGGTGAGGCGAGGTGGGGGCTGGATGGGTGACACGAGGCATTTACGACTGGCTGCGGAAGTGGAAAGGCTGATTTGTTTTCCCTACGTTGATTTATAACGATGCAATAGATGGTGAAGCGTTAATTTTTTCCGTCGAATGCAAGATAATTAACCAAACCAATGAGGGCTCATGCTACATGTTTTATGACGTGATGACATAATCTGTTGCAGGATTCGGTAAAAAGGATGAAGCTGCTTCTCTTATGCCTACTCGTATGGGTGGCTAACGCCCAGGACACCCCAAACAAAGCAGAACATCATGAAACCCCACACACAACAGAACATCATGAAACTCCACACACAGACACAACAGAACATCATGAAAACCCAAACAAAACAGAACATCATGAAGCCCCAAACAAAACAGAACATCATGAAGCCCCAAACAAAACAGAGCATGCATCTGGAGAGGCTTCGCATACCGAACACAAGACTGTCGAGGCGATTCTATCCAAAGTGGAAGAAGAAAAGGTATCTGATTGGGTGCAAGACTGGGTTGAACCAGGCTCAGTTTGCAAACTCAAGTAAGTACCCACCGAGTAATAGCATAGATAAAGCCAATACCTATATTTTATTTGCGTTTTCCTTACTTATCGTTGCAGTTATGTTATTTGGTCCAATATAATGTCGCCATGGTTTAAAGTAAATAGCTCACTTTTAACATGGGGTTTTGAACTGGAATAGCAGTTCCGTAGCTTGAGCCGAGACAAGCACAAATCAGGAGCTTTTACGGCCCAACGATCACCCTAGGCAAAGATATTCCATTTCTCGTCCCGAAAAATGTGCCTTGCAGGGGTCATTTTCCTCTTTTAACCCGCGCCCTGATGGGGGGGGCCATTTTGGCCCCCCCTGTGGTTTTTCTTAAATAGCGAGAAAACGGCGGCGCGCAGCGCCGCCAAATTTTGGGTACCTTACCGGACATCAATTTGACACCTTCACACAAAATTTCAAGTCACAGGTCACCTCAGGTCAGGAGTTATTGAGGTCAAACTGAGGTCATGTTCGAGTAAAAATGAGCAAAAAACATGACATCTTGAAACGCTCACCAATTTTACAGTTAACAAGCAATTTTAAAGTTCTTTATGTGGTTGTGTAGAGAACAGACGGCGCTACAAAACTGCTATCTCGGATTTTCGAAATTTTTGGATTTTGACCCCCAAAAATCAAAAAAATTGATTTTTTAGAAAAACTAAAAAAATTTCCAAAAATTTTTCGAATTTCGAAAAAACCGGAATATATGTGATAGTCCCTGCGCTCTTCGATATACATACCAAATTTTAGATCGATACCTCTTTTTTTGGCTAAGTTATAGCGAAAAAACTGTTAAAAATTGATGACGTCATATTTTTTGAACTCAATTTTTAGCAATTCTAGACCTCGTGGCGCAAAACAGAGACCACCATTGAACTCCCCGTGACGAGCTGCATCGAATCGATACCCATTTTATGCAAAAATATCAACTTTGAAATTTGACCTAATTTGACCTGACCTTGACCTGGCCTTGACCTGACCTTGACCAAAACGTGACCTAAGCTGGCCCTAAAGTCTGTCTGACCCACATAATCGCATTTGTCATGTAAAATGGACCATAAAACATGTATCACACGACACTTTCATATTGTGACCCCCCAGTGACCTGACCTCTGTGACCTGACCTGGTATCAGTGACCTCAAGTAGCAAAATATGTGTTTAAAGAACATTTCCCCATCGATGATTTTCAATGAAATGCATTTTACACGATTTTACAACGCATTTCTTGAAATGCCTGTAAACGGTGAAAATTCGACCTTTGACCTGACCTGTGACGTCATCGGTTTGACCGAGGTCAATGAAATTGGGTCACAAGGTAGTTCCCCGTTGGGGCTATCCAACACCGTTTACCGCTTGTCGCTATGTTGCGTGGTTCTCGAGATCTGAGGGGGGGGCCAAAATGGCCCCCCCCCCATCAGACCGCGTTGCTCGGCAGACCCCATCTGGGCGCGGGTTAAGACTGAAGAGTTCTTCCTATATTAAAATATAGAAAACAATATTTTTTGTAAAAAGGTTTTATTTTCTTTGCTGATCATTTTGAGCATACAAAATCATAAATTCATTGCAAAAAATCTAATTTCGTGAAAGTGAACTATTCCCTTTAATAATGACGCACTGATAAGGATTGAAGGAGAGGTAACGATTACCATCAGGCAAATATTCCTTACCAAACTTGAGAACATTTTCAGATCACTTATCTTTTATAGTTTCTTCATATTTAGGTACCTATCTATTATACTATCTTTTATCTTTATATACGTAGGTTGATTTTAATAATGTTTTGGAATATAATAAGCTTGGTATAATTTCTCCACGAGTGTGCTTTGCTGGCTTCAGAATGATTTCTAAATCTCTCTTATGTTTTTGTGCTTTTTTTATAACGAAAAGAATAAGTTGTTAAAAAATATATTACAGCTATGTCCACTTCATTGAAAACTTAACATTTATAAGGCTAGGTCGTTTCAATAAAGTTGTTGTTCTTTCGTAAGTTTGTGTTGTAAAATTAGGCACCATTACTTTTAAGATTATAGTCCAGACGATTAAATGGGTATGACTGAAAGGTGTGACGCATACTAAGGAATCATCTTATATGTTTTGAATTTATTCAACGTTGTTTTTTTCATCGGAACAACAAATTTGGAGTTACAGGAAGAACGATTTGGACCCAGCGACAGAACGCAAAGTAATGTGCCTCGGTCTTAGAAGTTTATTTCTACATAAAATGTCGGTACTCAGCATTACGTAAAAGCAGGAAAAGTATAGATATTGGATAGTGGCTACGTCAGGTTATGAAGTAGCCTAGGGCATAACTATAAGCATTGAACACTGGAGTCACTGCAAGTAGCAAATGCAAACGAGTAAGAAAAAAGATGCACAAATATGACACCTATGTTTTTCCTGTCTGCACAGGAGTCCGCTGACGTTCCCGTGGATGTGGGAGTGTCGGGAAGGCGCCTGTCTGCGCACTCCCGTTAGCGAGGCTACCAATGGCATGACCCTCGGCGGCTGCAAGCTGACTTGTGGTAAGGGACTCACCCTCTGGCCGAAACCCACTGGAACGTTCACCCTCGGCAAAACGCCAGTGTCCTTCAAGTACAGCCAGGTTATTGTCATCGTGGACGCCCCGCAGGATGTTCGCGGCCATGTTGAGAAGGCCGGTAACAGACTGAAGGAAACGCTCCGTGACATGCGACCTCCTGGCGGAAGCTGCCTGGAGCTATCTTCTGCGAGTGATGCTAACCTGGCGACGCGTCAGCTGACAATCCGCGTCACTGTAGAACAATCTGATGCGTCACTCACGCTGAAGACTGACGAGTCCTACAAGCTAAACATCACGCACACCGACGCCGACCAGCTGGAGGCGCACATCGAGGCCAAGACGTTCTTCGGCGCGCGCCACGGCATGGAGACGCTCTCGCAGCTGGTGGCGTACGACGACGCCAACGACGCGCTGATGACGGTGACGGCCGACGTCAGAGACGCGCCCGTGTACCCGGTGCGCGCGCTGACGCTCGACACGTCGCGCAACTTCATCTCGGTGGCCGGCCTGCGCCGCACCATCGGCGCCATGGCCATGAACAAGCTGAACACGCTGCACTGGCACATCACCGACACGCACAGCTTCCCGATCGAGATCACGGGCGAGCCGCGCCTGGCGCAGTACGGCGCGTACTCGCCGCGCGAGGTCTACACCCGGGCGGAGGTGGAGGAGCTGGTGCAGTTCGCGCTGGAGCGGGGTGTGCGCCTGCTGCCCGAGCTGGACATGCCCGCCCACGTCGGCTACGGCTGGCAGTGGGGCGAGAAGGCTGGGATGGGGAATCTCACCGTCTGTTTGGGCAAGGTGAGTTTTTCCAAGAGCCAGCATCTCTGTCAGCTTATAGTTGGTTGGACAAAGGCAGACCGTTTCGAGATGTTTTTTATGTTCAGTTTACAATACTCCGCTTCTAAAATGATTAATGCAAAATTGTGATGAATAATGCAATTATTAACCCCTCCGATACCTAAAGTATGAACACCACATTCATCCCCTGGAAACTTAACTGACATTCTTTTACAGGAGCCGTGGCAGCAGTTCTGCGTCGAACCGCCTTGCGGGCAGATGAACATCATCAATGAGAACCTCTATAAGGTTCTGAAGACGATTCTGGTGGAATACAACGATGTCTTCCAGCCGGACCTGTTCCATATTGGTGGAGACGAGGTAATTACGAAATATCCACTTCTACATATCAATCGCACAGTTATTACCATCACCTTCCTCCATCCCCGTTCACCCACCCACACCGTTCAACTATGGCTTACGTGACACAGAGTACATTATCAATGGGAAATGCATGATAAATACAGTGTTGAGAGCACTAGAAGAAAGTGCAGCCAGATGCAGCTGCCATTAACAGTTGCCATACAGCTGTATCTGTCCTTAAAAACTTACAGAAAATGTCATTTTAGTTGATGCCTATAAGGTTCACTTAACATGGTTCTGAAGAAAGCCAGTGTCCCTACTAGTTTCTTTTAGTTAATGGCCAGGCTCTCCACCAGTTATCGATTCGCATTCCTTTTCCAGATCAACCTGAACTGCTGGAAGACGACGCCAGAGATTGCTGCGTTCGTCAAGGAGAAGGGAGGCGACCCCACCGACGACGAGGAGTACATGAAGCTGTGGATCCAGTTCCAGGAGCGTGTCTACGACATGTGGACCAGCATCGCTGGCGAGCAGAAGACGATTCTGTGGACGTCGCACCTCACCCAGAGACCCGCCGAAGAGTCGCGTCTCGATCCCAGCAAGTACATCATCCAGATCTGGACCACGGGCAAAGACCAGCAGATCGGCGACTTGCTCAAACAGGGCTACGAGCTGATTCTATCCAACTACGACGCCTGGTATCTGGACTGTGGTGGTTCCGCCTGGGTCGGGAAGGGAAACAACTGGTGCTCGCCCTACAAGAGCTGGCAGACCGTCTACGAAAACAGTCCCAGGAAGATAGCGCAGAGCTTCCAGAGCAGCTCTGATGCCGCTGCGTCTCAGCCAGCTAGTCAGTCAGACTTCTCTGCCCAGATTCTGGGAGGCTCTGCCGCGCTGTGGACTGAGCAGGCCGACGACGCGAACCTGGACAACAAGCTGTGGCCTCGCGGCGCGGCGCTGGCCGAGCGTCTGTGGGCGGAGCCGGATACGGACTCGCTAGCGGCCCAGTGGCGCCTCGTGCACCACCGTCGGCGAATGGTGGCCCGTGGGGTCCATGCGGAGACCATGCAGCCAAAGTACTGCCACCAGTACGACGGCACATGCTATATCGACTGAGTGCTGGGCAAATCCTCGCTGGGAGCGGTATTTGCTGCATTACCGTCCGTCAATTTTCGTAGATGAGTTTTTGCACTTGATGAAATTTATGTGACTTTACATCTCCGCTGTTTTTCGTAATCAATTCGTTCTTTGCAACAGACTGACTTAAAAAATGTAGCAACAGACCGATTATAAATGTATCGTGAGCTGTTTAGTTGTCTGTATGTACATGCCGATTGCCGATGATTTGCTAATTTCAATGTGGCTGATACACCATAATAGTTGATAGATACCTTGTGACGAAGTTGTGCCAATAAAACGTAAAACGTTGCTACGTTTGAAGAACATCTTGAATAAACATCAGAGAAAAAGCTAATTGTGGTAAAAAAGAAACATAAAGGCCAGAAGATTGTGGCTCACCCAGTAGGTATTACGCTGAGAATGGCCCAATAGATGACCAGTAACGATGTTCTTTCTTTCCATTTGACGTTCAATGTCAGGCGATGACCTAAGGACATTTACGGGTCATATCAAATAATTTACACAGCAGTTCTAGCTTTTATTTATCCTATCATTTATAAAATAATCGTAGTTGATTATTTATCCACAAGTGAAAAAACAACAACGAACCGAAAACACATAATTGACCTATGTACAGTTGACTACAGAACGAGGTCCCAGTTTTCACAGGCAATCAGTTGCCTGGAGTGGTAGGCTGTACCGCATCACAAGGGCTTAGTTCACAGTTACCTAAATGCTGTGACCTAATGTTGAAACCTAACGTTTAGCGCTTAATTGCGTGATAAACGGCACACCCTATCGTTCCAGTGAAGTGTGAACTGATACCTTCCTAGGAGTGGAGCACCATTCTGTAGTCCACTGTACAGAGCCATCCATCGCGCCGGTTGTTTGCCTTGCAGACATCTTGTGAAGATGCGGACTCGTTTGATTTCGGCAGAATTAAATACAACGCTTCAGGTTTAGCCCGGATTCACCCCAGACTATTTAGGACAGCTCGAAGCGACTTTTACCTTATACACATCACAGAGCCATTGGATTGGAATAGAGAAAACGTGGGCCAAGCCATTCGGCGTCACTCCGAGCCGTTTGACCTACGGAGGTCAATAAATGTCACGACCCCTAATTTGCACAGCAGATTGTTGCCTACCCAGTGGAGATAGAACTCTGAAAACCACTATACGACTCACTGTGACCTATACGAGTAGGTACCTTTTTTCATAAGCCATTCAGATTTTGAAGCTGGTGAAAAAAATCCATATTTATATCTTTCTTGAGAAAATCTAAAAAAAATAGTAAGTCCTCGAGCAGCTACTGACATTGTGTCAATGAACTGCAGCTCTCTGCTGAGAGTATTTCAACACTCTTTTGTGCTTTTTCGCAAATATGAAATATCTAATCTAAAACAAAAAACTTCGGCAAGAGAGAGAGAGAGAGAGAGAGAGAGAGAGAGAGAGAGAGAGAGAGAGAGAGAGAGAGAGAGAGAGAGAGAGAGAGAGAGAGAGAGAGAGAGAGAGAGAGAGAGAGAGAGAGAGAAAGAGAGAGAGAGAGAGAGAGAGAGAGAGAGAGAGAGGGAGGGAGGGAGGGAGAGAAATCTTTTAAAGAATTATAAGCTATATGGTAGGTATCCTCAAGATAAGATTCAAGTTTTGTTTGCACACTAACTCCTTAGACCTGAACAATTTAACCGGCAACCGCAAACCAACGACACAAGATCAGCTATTCGTATGCGTTTTGATTGTTGCCACGCCAGAAATATGGAAACCAGTTATTAAGCCGCCTCTGACCCTTGATGGTGATCCAAGGTCAGCTTCCGGCGCCGTTGTGCTGCAGCGAAGTTTGTGAGCTGAGAAAGTGAGCTGTCGAAGGTGATCTGTCAAAGTTTGTGATTTGTAAAAACGCGCTGCAGTATGACGGGTAACAGACAGGCCTGCGACCGACAAATAGGAGAATTAGCATCAGGGGGTGGGATCACGGTGAATCAATAATAGGCACTGCATTATTCATTAAATAAGAGGGAAGATGTCGGGTGTATGATCCAGACGCAGCATAGCGTAAACCTTATGGCTAAATTTGGCTACGTTGTTTTGGGTAGGCATGCGAGTTTCACAATCATCAGTGATAGGTATTATCAGAACAATGGAACAAGAACAGGATTTTATCGATGGGTTGACTATGGTACATATAACCACGTTCTATGCATAGGTACATGGATTAAATTTCAGCATTACAGCAGTGATATCACCTGGAAGGCATCGATCAACCACACGACCACAAATAAGGCATTTTCACGGCGAGTCGACACTCGGCAAAAAGAGCGCAATATTCGACCGGAAGTATAAAAACAAAATCCATTCGAATGTTACTTCCTAATAGGGCATTGGCATCGGCTTGGCATTATCAGCATGCCGAAAATTTGGCATCCGATTGCCTGTATATACACCCCACTAAATGGACACGCGACTCACACTGGGAAGGCTAGGTATGTACAGCAGTCTGCCGCGGCAGCAGGCATCCGGGTGTAGTCTTGACTGTCCCCACTCCCCAGCCAACCGCAGGCAGTGACCAGAGTCACTGACCTTCGTCAGAAGCAGACCGGAGAAACCGGACTGGGGACGCGGCGCAGCCAGTCGACAACAGTCTCTAAACTCGCCGGGACAGAGGTCAGTTCAAGGGCCTCCCGGACCGGAATATCACCGACCCAGCCCAGGGCTGCTGACAGAGATCATCGTCTTCGGTGAACCTGTTTGCTGAACAGATTTATTTATGTTTGCCAGCAATATCAAACGCTTCGAGCATGAGCGTAACGTTGTCTATTGCCGTATGCTATCACATAATAGCCGTTTTTACGACGAGTTTTCTTGCGAATGGACCAAACTTGACCAGATCTAACCACATCTCTTTGACAAATGTCTTGGTATCATGAGTTTATCTCAATGTTTTAATTTTTTGATCGAAAATAATGTCAGATAGCTTGACAAATAAAGTACCCAAGCAACTGGCCCGGTCGGGCTCGGGGGTAGTCCCAACCACTGCTGCCCGGGGGGACAATATTTACCCCCCCCCCCGTAAATAAGGGAGCTAGCCTATGGAAACAAAAGCGGTACCAAACGAAAGGTCTTTACGAAAGCGCGTACAACTTTGACAGGTCAATTTTCAAGGTCAGAAGTCAAGGTTAAAGATAAAATCCGGCACATGTGTAGTGATTACAAAGAAACTGTTCTGAAAGACGGCAGGATGCACAAAACCAGCAAAAGTGGATGAGAAACGAAAGACGGAGTCTGAGTATTCCGATCCTTCAAGGTCAAGATGAAGCTCATGCTCAAAATTGACCTAGAACTGTGCACTTTTTCGTATATCTTGTAAAATAAATTCCAAGAGTTCGAAATGTTTTGAGACTTATCACGCCCTTATTTGTTGTTCAATGTTCATCTTACAATACAAGGCTGCTCCAAGATCAAGGTTATGGAAGAGTGTCCTGGCTAGAGGCTATTTCACTCTTTCAAATCAGCCATAATAATTCAGACAATTTTGCCATATCTTGAGGCTCTAAATGAGCAACATGGATGCCAGATTCGTAATCAGTGGCTACAAATCCATCATATACGACCTTTCATATGCCAAGGTCAACCAAAGTCAATCGAGGTCACATGAGGTCAACATAAAACTTCACCTTTTCCAACCAATATATATAAATATATATATATATATATATATATATATATATATATATATATATATATATATATATATATATATATATATATATATATATAGCATTCGACGCGGTGTGATAAGACGAATGCGTTGGTACCACTGCCATAGCTCTAAGAATATTTTTGTTGAAGTTATTTGCATAAAAACTAAAACTCCACCTCGGGTTCGTTGACCTGACCTTCTATCTTTATATTTTTCCTAGGTCAAACGCTACACAAATGTGCTCGAAATATGTCTTTACATATCTCTATTCTCTATTTTTGGCAGCTATTTGAAGCTCACGTCTGTGATGCGGAAGTTTGCCATGCGGTATCTAGGAAAATCGACTCTGTAACGTCATCAAGGGGACTTTTTTACTCCGGAAGATGTCAAGTTAGATGGGGGAACAAGTACTTGAAGTTTCGCTTTTCCATCCCTAAGCGTTCGGGAACTATCGCCAATATTCGCCGGGGGGGGGGGGGGGGCGAAACACGCCCCCCGGGCCTGCGAGGGCTAGTGCAGCCCAATTCCTGAAAACTAACTTCTACCTACTGACCGGCGCTTTTAGCCTCCCCCGCCCCCACCAGAGTGTTCGCAAATACGCTGCGCGCCGCCGTTTTCGGCATGCCTGTTCATACATCTTTACGTTGTTTTAAGAATTTCAGAGTTCAGACCAGGGTCGTTCAAGGTCATGTCACCAAGTCACGTCAAGTGGCCTTACCTCAGAAAAGTTCCAATGCTCGCTATACCCACAGCAACTGAGCGATCACTTTTAACCTTTCAACGATTGATAAGCTTTTACTCTTATAATATGCTTCAGAGACCCGTCTTGGAAAGCCGATTTCCACATCCGTTTACGTTCTGCGACCATCAGTTCGGAAGCCAGGCGGAGGGGCAGAATCTACCCTCTAGCGGGGCACGTTCGGGGCAAAATTGACCTTTGATGAATTTCGAAGACCAGACCTTTGATCTGACAAAGACCATACCTTTGACCAGACAAAAGAGCCTTCCTCATTGTTTTTGTGCTATTTTTAATGTCATTTACGAGGATTTGCACGCTGTTCGCGACCTTTGAATATAAGCATAACCGTTTAGGGTTGAAGTAACTGAAGACACAGCTTGAAAGAAGGATAGGCCATGAATTTTCAAAATATACCAGCCTGATACTGTTACGTCGATTTGGCCAACAACATACAAAGTGACGTGGGCATGCTTTTCGTAGGTGTACAGTGTACATACACCCATTGTAAGCCATCTCATTCACCAATCTCACTCATTATTCTTACGTAAGGCACGTCCAGGATTAGGCGCTCCGGACATGCATAGCGCCTCTAGCGGCAGCTTTCGTACTAATAGTGGACAGGTGGCGGCTGGCGAGCTGAGGTGACAATCTGGTGGCGGTCAGGGCAGTGCCCTGCCTGTATGCTGTTCCTCGTTAGTCTGGCTTTCAGATACCAGGTAAGGAAAAGGGCAAGCAGGGCGAGCAAAGCCAACTCAACTAGCAGCATGTCAGGTATTGAATGCCAGGAATCATTGGGAAGAAAGCTTGAGAACGACGGCGGTATTCTGCTGCCTACCTGAGCGATCACTGACTCTGAATGATCACTGATCCGCTG